CTAACCTTCCTTCTCTAGATATCCCAGGCTAGGAATATTGTCATCATCCTCTTTTAGACCTGCCCTCTATTACCAAGTCATAACTTGTGCGTTTCAAATGTTTTTCAGTTTACTCTGCCTCTATCCTGTCTCACTTCTGGCCCTGATTGAACCAAGCCTGGATTACTGTATAGTTTCTTTTTCTGACTTGCATTCTTCCTCTGGTCTGTTTTGGTTGTTGCTACCAGGCTGGTCCTTCAGAGGCATTGTTTTATCTTGTTTCCCGTGGCCCTGAAATCTGTAATGACTCCATTGTCTGTTCCCTCAAAGGCCAGCCCTCATGTCGGACCTCCATGTCCCTAGCAGATCATCAGTGATTAAAAGAAATAATACAATGCCTGCCATATACAATTGAAAATAGTCAAGTAGTAACATTTAAAAAATACCCTTTGTGGTGGCACTTACATTTAGTCTTAACATTTGGGAAGCTGAGACAGAAAGAACAGGAGTTTACATGGATTTTATTAGACTATGTCCTACTATGTTTGCTAGTACATTTTTAAAGATTTTATTTATTTATTTATTTATTTATTTGGTTGGTTGGTTGGTTTTTTGAGACAGAGTTTCTCAGTGTAGCTTTTGGAGCCTGTCCTGGAACTCACTTTGTAGACCAGGCTGGTCTCTAACTCACAGAGTTTCACTTGCCTCTCTGCCTCCCGAGTGCTGGGATTAAAGGCGTGCACCACCACCACCCAACGAGATTTTATTTTTTGATTACATATATGTGTGTCTATATCTGGGTATGTGCATGGGAGTCCATATGCCTTCAGAAGTTAGAGGAGTACGAGTCCTGTGGAGCTGGAGTTACAGGTGGTTGTGAGCCCGCCCACATGGGTATTGGAATCCAACTTGTGTCTTCTACAAAAGCAGGATGTGCTCCTAACTAGTGAGTCATTTCTCCAGCCCTTTATTAGTTTATTTTAACTGAACATGTCTCAGAGAGTATCATTTTAATATAATCAGTATAAAATAAATAGTGAGATTTTGTATTACTTGGCAGAGGAGTCTATACCCTCAAAACCTCATGTGTAGAGCTGAGGAAGTAACTCTGTGCTAGATTCCTTTCCCAGCATGTGAAGATCCCTAGGGTCTGTCCTCAACGCATGAAAAGCTCCTATGTGTACTCTGTTCTTCTATCACATCTTCATTTCAACCACGCACATTTCAAGTGTTCAATAGTCACATGGTGCTCTTCTTGTCATCACTGTTCCTTCCACAGAAAAGAACCAAATTTCACCTCTTCCTTGCTTTTTCAAACAGAATAGAGTGATAATGTACCAAATGGCTGGACTGTTCTAAGCCAGTACAAAGTGTGAACGTACTTTGTAAGCATAGTTCTGCAAGAATATATGGAAGTTATTATTTCACACAAGGGTGAAATGTCTTGGAAGTAGAGTAATTTGAAAGAAATGCCTGGCTGGGGATACAGCTTGGTGGTATAGTGCTTGCCTCCCATGCCTGATGCCAAAAGTTCAGTTCCCAGTTCAGAGAAAAGAAACTCTTCCACACTGGGGACTGGGACTATAGCTCAGTGGTGGAGTGTGTACTTCGAGAGGAAAAGGACACATTAGCTGTCCTGAATTGAACTGTGAAAAAATATAACCTCAAGCAGTGAATGGAGAATATTAACATGTACGTTATCCTGCTGTTTCTTTATAATGGCTTTTTAGGAAGAAATTAGTTACATCAATAAGGTTTTCTAAATTTTTAAATTCTTATCTTCTAGCCTTTCTTCCTCATTGAAAATTAACTTTCTTTCTTGAAATAGGATCCAGGCAGCTACCAAGAAACCCATTGCTTTCAACACCTTGTAGCACTCAAGTATGGAATGACATTAAAATTTTTTCATATTGTCCAATTCAATATAAAGGCTAAGAATTGACCTAAAAACAGATGTTAGGTATTTAGACCTTGAAACCATTTGTAAAATGCTTTCAAGCTATGCCATGAACGGAGATTTTAAGGAGTAGGTATCCTGACAAATTGATGAGTAAGACTAGTAAAAACCAGGATGCATGCATTTTTTCAAATCCCAGTGAGTTGGCCCCTCTGTCAGCTCCTCGCTTAACCCACTGTTGGTGATGAAATACGTGCTTTGTGCATGCTAGGCAAGCAGTGCCCTTGCGCTACATCGCTGTCGGTTTGTTTTCCTATTTTGTTTTTGTCTGACTGTTCTTGAGACAAAATTTTGGTTCATAGATTAAGCTGGCTTCAAGCTTTCAGCCGTGCCTCAGTCTCCTGAGTGCTGGATTACAGCTGTGCACTACCATGCCTAGCTGCCCATTAAAATTTTAATAGTTATCGGTTTATTTATGTACTTACTGTGTGCATGTGAATATGCCACAGAGTATATGTAGAGGTTAAAAGGACTACTTTCAGGAGGTATTTCTCTCCTCCCGCCATGTGGGTCTTAAGGATATTAAGCTCCGGTCATCAGGCTTGGCAACAGGTGCCTTTACCAGCAGAGACTTACCCCCTCACACATTTTATTTATTTATTTTTTAAAATTTATGTATCCACTTGTGTGTGTGTGTGCATCTATGTGTATGTATATGGGCATGCGTGTCATGGCACACATATGCAAATGAGAGGACAATTTATGGGAGTCACTTCTCTTTTTCTGCTGTTCTGGGTCGTGGGGATTGAGCTCAAGCTGGGGGACTTGATGGCCAATACCGTTCCTCTCTGAGCCATCTTGCTCCCTCCTTTTGAGATAGAGTCCAGGCTGGCCTTGAATTTCATTTGTAGTCTGGCTGGACTGTCTCTACCATATAAGTGCTGGACTTATAAAGCAGGTCCCACCACATTTGACAATATGGGTGAGTTTTAAAGTGATTTCCAAATAGTACACTCATTTCCCTTTACTCACGCTCTGACCTGTCCTGTGGCCCTTTAGGAGTTCAACACTTAATATGGATATAAACGTAAGTTTATAGTGTATAACTAATATTGCTGATGAAGTAAGGATTCCATCATTCATAAGTTTCTCCAAGCTAGAAACCCAAACCTGACGCCTGCCCCCTTTCCCCTCATGCATCCCACTAAATTAGGTGCTGAATCCGTACAACTCCACCTCTTCGAGTACTCCCTTAGTCTGCAATCACCTCTCATCCTTGCCACCCTCATTCAGGCTTTCGCCCTAGCTCAGGCTTTCGTCACTTTTCTCTTGGCTACTGCAACAGTCTCCAAACCAGTTTTCCTGCCTCAAGCTTCAGTCTTCCCTCCACCCCTCAATTTAGTCTCCAGCTCCTAGCAGAACGATCTTGCTAAAATGCAGATCTGATCACACCACTCCCCTAATTAAAAAGAACACTGAGTTCTTCCCAGGGCTGCAGATACAATCCAAACTACTGAGTGTGCTGTACAAAGCACTTAATAGTCAGAGCCCAAATTATCCCATTAGCCTAGCCTTCTGCCATATATCCAGAGCAATAATAATATTATTAGTGGTTCTCCAGTAAGGTTCATCCTTTTAGGAACTGTTCTCTTCTTTTGATTGTCCTTGCTACTTCTCACATCAATAAGACATGTCATCTTCAGGCTTGTTCTAATGTCTCTTCTTCCTTCACATTGTGGCCATTTGTTCTTTTATTCTCTGTGTCTTGTTGTGCTTTGAGGGAGGATGAGACTAGAAACAGTGTTTGCTGTAGTTGTATTGATAATGGGTATTATGACTTCAGCTAAATATTAAATACAAATTGCTAAGTTCACCTCTGTATTACTTGCTCTTTCTGCCTCCATCTGTACTGCTCTGGTTGGTGTACCTTCAGTGTTCAGCTTATCATCCTTGTCCTCAGAGTCCTCCAGGCCCAAGTGGCCGACATGCAGTCTTCTGGGTTGCCACGCTGTGCCATGTGCATTCATTCACCTTTGCTAACACATTGCTCTGTGACCTACTGACAGCTGCCATCGTCTTCTTTTGGCTTCTCTTCTTGTATCTCAGCGTTGCTTTGTTTCTGTAGTCACCACTGACCAGGCAGTACAATCCTTTCCTTCCTCCAAGTCTGCAAACTAATCGAAGCAACAGTTGGCTGTTGACCTTGAGTTTTGGCTCTTTGCTGCGATGTATAGCTTCTGGGGGTGCCTAGATGCTGTTAGTTCATTGCAAAAACTTTTCTTTTTCTTCTTAGTCTACATTTGGGATTTTGTGAATCTTAAATAGTGCCAACAGGATTGTCTCTAAATAAATATGGTTCTGCTCTATTTGTTTGTTTGTTTATCTATCTATTTATGTATTTATTGGTAGCCATGTGTATTTATGTGTGCCTGCTGGTCTGTACATTTGCCAAACATGTGTGCAGGTGCCCCCCGAAACCAGAAGAGGATGTTGGTCTCTAGGAACTGGATTTATAACTAGTTGTGAGCTACCCAGTATATGTGCTGGGAACCAAACCAGAGTCCTCTGCAAAAGCAGCAGGTGCTCTTAACCATGGAGCCATCTGTCTAGCTGCTCAACGTGTATAATTCTGTATTGTCATTTAAAAGTGAAACTACTGGACAAGAAGATTATTAGTTATCAAAATTCATGTAGCTCAGACACTCAATAACCTTTCCCCCTTCTATCAAGGACAGTGCATCTACAAAATAATTGCTTTTTACTCTCCCCTGACTCCATGCTCATCTGCTCATTGCCACTATTAAGATGAGGGAATTGGTGTGTATGAGTAGATTTGGTTGAGCCTGAATGTAGATTGCCTTTTTGAAACAAAGCCCTCCTGCTTGCTATTCTGAATGAATGTATTGTTTGCTTGAGTTCTTTGCCTTTGATCGTTAAAGCTAGTAGAACTTTTGGAAGGTGACTGCTTGTTTGGTTCCACTTGAGCAGTCAAGATATAGAATGGAATTAGTTTAAAGAGGGATTAATTTGTCAGAGGCTTGGTACTGTGTTATTTAGTGCTTATTTGCGCTCTATCTTAATCATTGTATAATTGAGAATTTCTTTGTCAATGTTTGGTTTTCAGGCTGGTTGGAAGGAAAATCATGCCACATTCATGAGCGAACTGAAAAATCTTCAGGCTTCTGGACTGACTACTCTTGGTCAGGCTCTAAGATCCTCATTTGATTTGTTAAATCTCAATCGATTAATATCTGGAATAGACAATTATGGACAGGTAACTATATTTGAATGAGTTCAGCTAATTTATTTTGATGACTTAGGGTAAGAGTGCAAAATTAGGCAAGACTTGTGCTACCTGCACTATCAACCAGAAGGGGGTTCATGCAGCTTGTAGATGCACAGTTCATAGAAATCACAAAGCAAACCCAAATGTTTGGTTCTTGGTTTTGTTTTGTTTTTTATTGTTGTTGTTGTTTTGTTTTTCCCTGGCTGTCCTGGAACTCACTCTGTAGACCAGGCTGGCCTCGAACTCACAGAGATCTGCCTGCCTCTGCCTCCCGAGTGCTGGGATTAAAGCTGTGTGCCACCACCACCTAGTCAACTTTTTTGGTTCTTAAACATCAGTTCATCAGTGGATTATACACTAAATAAAATGTCTTGTCATTTGATCTCAGAAATCTGAGAATATGATGAATAAGGTGCTGCAAACATGTTGGAAGAAGACAGGGGGAGGGAAATCTTCTGTGTCCCTCCTTCTTCCCCCACCCCCAGTCTAATAAAAGACTTGGAAAGCTCCAGATAAAAGAGGAGGCCAGAGAAGCACATGCTGCCGCCGCCACCATTTTTCCTTTCTCTCCTAAATGCTCTGCTCAGAATCCCCAGACACATTGTCCGGGCTGCAGAGCACGTGCCCCAGGTGTCCCCCAGTCTGTGCCAGGATTTTAACTCAGGTGAACGGGTTCATGAGTATGGATGAGCTTTTGTTTCTTATTTATCAAGGAAAAGTTTATCATGCTTGAGGGATCATTGGCAAGGCAAATGTAGAAGTTTAAGTACAATCATATTGCTTTACTCAGCTCTAATGCTTTTTAAATATATTTTAGGGGAGAAATCCGTTTTTTTTAGAGCCATCTATTTTAATTACCATCACAGATGGAAACAAGTTAACAAGTACTGCTAGCGTTCAAGAAGAGGTGAGATACATTTTTTTTTAATTTCATTTAAATAGCAGAGAACATGCAGCTATTTCTGTGGGAGGCATGTATTTCCAGTTAAGAATACAGTTTGCACAAATCTATATTGGTAATCCTTAAGAGATGGCTTAATTCTGTTGAGTTCCATGAAAGTGCAGTGAACCATTTAACTCTCTTCTTTTTATATGGGTTGTTATGATGAACCTTTTCAAATTTTGCCTTATCAGCTTCATCTTCCTTTGAATTCTCCTCTGCCTGGAAGTGAACTAACCAAAGAACCTTTTCGTTGGGATCAAAGGTTATTTGCCCTGGTGTTGCGTTTGCCTGGAGTGGCTTCTACTGAACCAGAGCAACTAGGGAGTGTACCAACTGATGAATCGGCCATCACACAGATGTGTGAAGTCACAGGAGGTACTACTGTTCTTTCAGGTTTCTGCAGGAAGAATTTGGGGTGGGAGAGTATAGTTCTTATTAACAGCCATAGCTAGCCTTTGGTTGCTTGCCTTCAAAATCTGTGAATTCTGCTGCTTAAGGTCATTGTTCATACCACATACCTGCTAATATAGTTATGATGGTTCTAAATCCTGTTTTAGGCTTTCAAATACTTGTATTATGAACCAGTATTTGATTTGATGAAATTTATGCTCTTTGTTTTTCTCTCTGGCATAGGTCGCTCCTACTGTGTAAGAACACAAAGAATGTTGAATCAGTGTTTAGAATCACTAGTTCAAAAAGTGCAGAGTGGTGTAGTTATTAATTTTGAAAAAACAGGACCAGATCCGCTTCCTGTTGGAGAAGGTACAGTAATCATTTTCTGAGCCAAAACATTTTTTACCATAATATAGTGTGAGGAAGAATGATCTAAGATTGAAAAGACATTAAACGTGTGGCGGTAGAATCCAGTATCCATGTGCATCCCATTCATCACGGACATCCATCCAAACACTGAAGTATGATCGATCATTGCCCATGCATGTGTTAGGTGGTCAAATTCTAGCAACCTTCATTTCATGTCAAACGTTTTCCTAAGGAAATTACTACTTTTTCTGACCTTAGTTTTTGGCTAAAACTGATTAATTAAACTCTCTGCTCCCCAAATTTTTGAATATCTACTATGGTATGGCACTTGAGTAGTGATCTGATTTGGCGCTTGTGATCACCAAATATGCTAAATTATCTTTCTGAAATCTCTGTTGATTACCACCCCACACCAAGAGTGTGAATGTTTATTCAGGAACTTACAGTATTCTGTGAAGTTGTATATTGGTATATTCTCCACCGTTCTTTAACTGCAGAATGTTTTCTCTTCAAATGAGATCTTATAGAAAATTTGACATCTAAAAATATAGAAGCATTGGCTAATTTTGCACAAGGAAGTTAAGCCATAGTGAAGCTCCAGATGGTTTGTCAAATGGATGTTTCTGAATGGGTTTCAGAAGGATCAGGGGAACTAAATTATACCACAGTGATACAGTACAGGACTTCCTTGAAGCCCTGCTCTTTGTTATGGTTTCTCCATTCTCTCAGCATGGGTATGCGCGTGTACGCACCCCGCCACAGAGAGAGAGAGAGAGAGAGAGAGAGAGAGAGAGAGAGAGAGAGAGAGAGAGAGAGAGAGAGAGAGAGAGAGAAAGGAGGGAGGGAGGGAGAGACGGGGGGGAGAGAGAGAGGGAGAGGGAGAGAGAGAGAGAGAGAGAGAGAGAGAGAGAGAGAGAGAGAGAGAGAGAGAGAGAGAGAGACCAACAGACCGAGAGACCGAGACAGGGAGCCCGAGAGACTGAGATTTCATTATTACCATGCATAGTGTTTTGTTTGATCTGATTCCCTTGGGTAAGGCCAAAGGGATCCACTATACATGGCAGAAAGCAGCACAGTTTTGTCTAGCACAATGGATCTTGTGTTTCTTGACTTGTTTTACTCTTTAGTTCTTATATCCCTTTGAGAAATTGTTGGAAAATTTAGATTCCTTTCCTTGGAGAAAAAGACTTAAGTCACACAATACAGTTTTATGTGTAATTTCAGGAGTTTCTTGGATTCCTAAGTTAAGAATATCTGCCAAAGAACACTGGGGCCTCACACCATATTTTGAATCAACCATATAGGGAAGGGTGTGCTGTAGTGTTGGTAACTGACTGCCCAGCCCATAATTTTGTGTTTACTACCTTAACATGAATGAGAAACTCAGATTGAAATACTAGTTGCGTTTGCTGTCTCAGAAGTAGCTCAGATTTCCTTTCTAGCTCCATTTTTTCCCTCTTTGTCCAGAGTTCTGTAGTCTCAAAGAATCTGATAAAAATAATAATACTTTGCTCGGAAAGATGGGCATCCCCAGCATTGTGTGCCCAACTGTAGAGGGATCCTCACATGTATTTCTTTGTTTTTCCTAGAGCCTGGTGAACTCCTGTAAAATCTCCTAACCTGAAGTAATTACTTGTTTAAAATAATGCCAAAATAAATAAATCAAGTCTTCTGTAATTTAAGGAAAATGACATCCAAATAACTAAAATGTCCTTCCTAATTATAATTTAGACTAGTGAATCATGGCGTAAGGGTTCTTTGTTTTTGTTTAGGGAGGCAAAAAAAGTAAGCTAACTTAAATAATTAAAATGCGTTAATGGTGTATTACTATGCGTTATATGTGGCCAGATTACATAGAATTGTAATGGTGTATGGAGAAAATGGGGTGAATTTTCCACAACAGTCTTGAGCTGTTTGCTTTATATTCCCCATCCCTATGTATACACAGAATATGCCACCAACATACTCTCAATTATCAAGAAAATTTAGAAAGCTTGTGTTTCGTTTTGGGGGTCATTGGGTGTAGAGCAAAAATGTAAATGGAATTTATGATCTAATTTGCCAGCTCCCAAAAATCTAAAGACTATACCAGGGAACAAATGATTTCATTTGCCTAATTGGGTAAATGAATTCTTGAAAAATGACCATTGTGTTGTGATGTGCTTAACTTATGTGCCCACGTCTCCTAAAATGTAAAAGTAGTTTTGCACTAGTTTTCCACACAATTTCCTATTCTCACAGTACATTAAGAATAGTGGGAGGCATTGAGTTAAAGGACAAATTAGATTCAAATTGTCTCGAGAGAGAGAACAGAAATCCTTGGACTGCCACTGCCTTTTCCTCCTTTCATTTTTCATAAACCATATTTTTAGTTTTAGTTTGTCCTTTGCCTGAAACTGAAAATTGTGTACAAGATAAATAACAGTAAAAAGCAGCCATGCCTTCTGTCACGTATTTCTCTCGTAGATGGACTGATGGATTTGTGTAGGCCGAGCAACTCATTTGCTGCTCAACCATGGCATAGTTGTCATAAACTCATCTATGTGCGACCTAATTCTAAAACTGGTGTTCCTGTTGGACATTGGCCAATTCCAGAATCGTTTTGGCCAGAACAGAATTTATCTTCACTAGTAAGTATTATAAATGAGAAGAGTAAACACTGATCTGGGTTTTTAATTAGATAACAGTGAAGCTTTTAAAATAACTTGAGGCTTTTAAGCTGTGCCACAGGCTAGTAGACCCCCTTCTTTTTTGGATTCCATCTTTTATTGAAAGGCTGGTTCTACGCCTTAAAGCAGAGGAGGAGAATAGCCTTTATTTTATCATACTTTTTCGTCTTTTGTGCTGTTGACTTTGCCGTGTGGATATTAAAGCATTGCTTTTAGTTAATTTTTTTACATTTATTTAGTGTGTGTGGAACCAAAGTTTGAAATATTTTTATTTCTTTTCATAGTTTTTATAGGAACTTATTTTGAATATGGCTATTTTGATGCATTTGAAAGCAAATTAGGAGAGCATTGTTTTAATGTTTTCTCCTTCCTAAAAGATACATTTTTCCAAGTAACATTTACATTCATTCATTATTTATTTATTTATGTGTTGTTTGCTTTTCTTGTTTTGTTGTTTTTTTCGTGGCACTATTGGCAGGTGAACCTAAGGCTTCACACATTCTAGGCAGCTACAGCCCCTCTACATAATATGTCATTATTTTTACTGTGAACAATAAAATGGAAAAATAATGGAAGGCTGGTTATGCAGAAAATATGCATGAAGGCATGAAAATGTAAAACGAGCAGTTGGCGGCTGCTCTCAAGGATGGAAGTAGGAGGAAAATGTAAACAAACAGCTGTCTCTGTCCTTGAAGGGAAGTGCAGACAAAAATTTGTGCACTTCTATTTTGATACACTTCCATGTCTACTTGGTATTTCCTTTCAGTTACCTTACAGTATTCATTTTTCAAAATGGGCTCACGAAGTAACGGGCTTCCTCACGGTGTTTTCATACATGTGTCATCTGGGTTGAGTCTCCCTCTGCTCCCTTCAACATCCCTTTGCCCTTTCCTCATGTCAGCCTTTTGCCCCAGCATTCCCCCTTCAATTTTAATAGCTCATGTGTCCTGTTGCCTTCTCCACCTCACTTCTTTTTTTCCCATCTGATGGGCCCCCTTCTAGTTTCCTGGCCTTTACCTACCCTTTCTCCCATCTAGAGATACATATTTAAGCATTATAAACTAGAATCCACATGTGAGAGAGGACATATGTCTTCCTGAGTCTGAGTTACCTTGCTTAATAAAGTGTTTTTCAGTTGTACCCATTATCCTACAAATTTGACAAATTCTTTTTTTTTTTTTTTTGCTTTTTGTCTTTTTTTTTTTCTGGAGCTGAGGACCAAACCTAGGGCCTTGTGCTTGCTAGGCAAATGCTCTACCTCTGAGCTAAATCCCCAGCCCCTTTGACAAATTCATTTTTATGGTTGAATTCCATTATGTATCGTCTGTTTTCATCATTTATTCATCTATTGATAGACATCTGTGTTGATTCTATGTTTTTAATCAAGGCACTTCTGTTTCATATGGATTCACATTTTTTGTTTAAGATGGGCTCTCACATTGTAGCCCAGGCTGGCTTTGAACTTACTCACAGTCCTTCTTACTCAGCTTCCCAAGTACCGATAATCATACCCTGGTGAGCCATTTACTTTTCAATGATTCTAATTATGCAATGCTTAAAAAGTTATCTCTAAGCAAAGGTTTGTCTTTTAGTATCTGCATTTGGTAGAAGAGGGTTGGATGCTATAGTTACTCTTAGTACCAGATGAATTGGCTTTTCTCAGGGGTAGTGTTTAGGAAAATAGGAGGTTGTAGGAAACATAATCTGTTTCCTATCCTCAAGGAAAGAAAGCCTGAGTAGTTCATGTGTAGTCTGGGGCTAGGGATGGGGAATACAAACGTATCTTGCTCCTCTACTGTACTACTTGCCTGATTCAGGTTAACTTGTATTTTAGGTTCTAGAAATTTTCACAGTGAACTGCATTTTCTCCCAGGCTACCAGTTTGGGTACTTATATTTGCAGGAGTAGTCATGGAAGGCTCAATGAACAAGACACCTTTTAGCCCCATTCTGTGGGTGAGGGAAAATATTCCTCTTCTCTCCCCCAGGGCTCCAAATGACAAACCTGTCAGCTCATAGCCCCTTCAAACCCCTTTGGTGAATTTATTTCATTATTGCTAGCTATGGGGGTTCGCTCAGGTGTTGATCATTTTTTTTAGATACACAGATCTAAGAAATCAGAAACATTTCACAAACTGATTAAAACGGAAATAAGAAAGCTGGAATTACGGAAATTCCAGTAATTTATACACAGTTTGCCTTAACATTCCCTCACCTGTAGAAGGTCACTGGAGAGTCGTTTTTGTCAACTCTCAAACATCTTACAAGTTTATGAATGATAAAGCTAAATGCATCTGTTTGCACTTTCATAAAGGAAATTTCATAAAGCCGTTTCCAGTATGTTTCTATTGGCCTCCCACGTGTCTCAGCCCTGGCTGTCCTCCCTTCTCTCTGTGGTGGTCTCTAGTTATACAAAGCTGCTGATAAAATTCCTTCTCCTTTGGTCTTTTGTGGTGCCCCAAACACACAGGCCTTTGAAGTTTCACCCAAAGCACCCTCAACTTCAGCTGTGCAAAGCAAACACGTGGGTATGAGCAGTGCTAGAAGATTCCTTTGAGCCCCTGAAGTTGGGACCAGATCATTATCATTGTGTATCTTGCCCTTCCATACCTTTGCTATTTTTCCTTTTGCTTCTTAGTAGCTTGAGCTCATTAGAAAAGATTCTCCTTGTTCAGTGGTATCCCAGTTATCTAACCTCATGCTACAGTAGACTGACATTCATCGAATGCTTAAAGGTCACAAAATGGATTTGAAAGTGAGTTCATCCTATGGATCATAAGGGTTACTTTAACATAATTAATAGTTATTACTTCACTGAAATTCTAGCTCTCCATTTCCTTATCTTCCCTCTTCCCAATCCTAAGTAGAGGTTAGAGGTGAAGGACTTGAGTTACCACTGCCTTGGTGATTCTTAAAGTTCTAGAAATTCTTCAAATACTAGTCTGTATCTTAGTGATTGTTTGACAAAAATGTAACAGGGCTTTCAGAATGGTTAGAATTGTGAGCTTGCTTGATATCCAATTGTATTTCCTCTTTTTTTTTTTTTTAGCCTCCACGAACATCTCATCCTGTTGTGAGGTTTTCCTGTGTCGATTGTGAACCAATGGTTATAGATAAACTGCCCTTTGACAAATATGAACTGGAACCCTCTCCTTTAACTCAGTACATCTTGGAAAGAAAATCTCCTCATACTTGCTGGCAGGTATCTATCCTTACCTAGTAGCCAAATGTCTGTAATCATTCTGGGATCTGGGAATTGGTTATAAATTGGGGGGTCTAGAGAGATAGCTCAGTGGTTAAGAATGCATACTGGCCAGGCGTGGTAGGCCACGCATTTAGTCTCAGTACTTGGAAGTCAGAGGCAGATGGATCCCTGAGTTTGAGGCCAGCCTGGTTTACAGAGTGAGTTCCAGGACAGCTAGGACTACACAGAGAAACCCCGTCTCAAAAAACCAAAACAAAGGAAAATGCACACTAACTTTACAGAGACCCTAAGTTCAGTTCCATTATTCACATCAGGTGGCTCACAGCTTCCTGCAATTCCAGCTCCAGATGATCTGATGCCATCTTTTTGGCCTCTGTGGACACCACACACATGCACATACCCCTACGCACATATACACATAATTAAAAACAAAATATGGGTCTGGTGAGATGGCTTAGCGGTTAACTTAATGCTCTTGGGAGGGTCCAGGTTCAGGTCTCAGCACCCATGTGGCATGCGGCAGCTCACAGCTGTCTCTAACTCCAGTTCCAGGCATCTGAGGCCCTCTTCTGGCCTCCATGAGCACCAGGCATGCATGTAGTGTACAAACATACATACAGGCAAAACACTCATACATGAAATAAAAATATATAAATCTTGAAAAAATGAAAGCTTTAAAATCTTTTCAAAAATTACTTTAAAATATTTCAAATTTGATAATAATTACACTGTATTTTTAAATGCTATCAAATAAACAACATAGCCAAGAAAATAAACTTAGAAAAGTAGGAAACATTAATGTACTGTACATTGCCATTTGTGGAAGTAGGATCTGATGAAACCATGCATTTGAGGATTTGGGGTTGGGTAGACCCGTTCTTATCTGTTCCCCAGGCTAAGAACATTAAACTACAGGGTGTGATTCAGTTCAGGTATGAGCAAGACTCTCAGCCCTTATTTTGAACTTGACAAATGAGAAGTCCTGCATATTTGGGGCCAAGAACCAGAAACTCTGAAATTACCTTCTGTATGAGTATAATGCAATAAAACTGTAGTTTCATTAGTACAAGCCCCACTGACTGGGATTTGACAAGTGGAGAGATACCATTCTCTCGGGCTTCTGAGTGCTGTGCTGCAGTCAGAAAGACTTGCTCATTGCTTAATAGAGTTGCCTGTGGAGTTTGACTTGTAAAATTCTAGACTTGACAGTCATAGCTTTTTTATTTGGATACAAAAAAAAGTCCTACATTATAAGGATGTCCGTTCTATTATTGAACTATGGGACCACATACCAGCCAGTAATTTTTAGGTTCTGTTGACACAGGGGACACTTTCAGACACTCATCTGTTCTGTTCTAAAATGTGAGATCACTGATACACAGCATCTATAAGCTACTTTAATTCTCTAAAGATGCTAAGGCTAGCTCAAAAGAAAAGGAACAAGCTTGAATCAAAGATATAAAGGGGTAAGAAACAAAATTTCAAAACTACAGGTGGTACCGGCATATGTCTTTAATCCCAGCACTCCAGAGGCAGAGGCAGCGGCTGTGAGTTCAAGGCCAGCCTGGTCTACAGAGCAAGTTCTCGGACAGTTAGGATTGTTACACAGAGAAACCCTTATTCAAAAAGAAATTTTAAAAAACATTTCAAAACTACAGTATTGAACAGAGGCCAAACAAAAAAAGATTACATACTGTATACTTGTACTTTTCTGTATTCAGACAGCTAAAATTAACTTACTGTGTCAGAAGTCAGAATAATATTTCCTCCTGAGGGTTGCAGGTTAGTGGCCAGAAACAGACACAACTGGGTTTCTTGTAGTGTAAACAACACCTAGGCCAAGAAACAGAAAAGGGCAGGCAACTCCCTCCTGTCCTTTTTCTGGAATATTCACCAAGCCCTCTACTTGTTTATCCCTAAATTCTAGAAATGTGGACAATAGAAAATTAACTTCTTCTTTTGAATAGTTTGGTTTGGGTAGGAGGTTTGAATTTCTACAACAAAATTAAATAAAATTACAAACCACACCTTTTCTCTTAAATAAACTTTCATTCTATATAGCATATTCCTTCTAAATCTTCTCCAAAGAAATGGAAGAAATCTGTCCCCACTTCTCCACAGCTTCTTAAATGTCATGCATAGTCTTTGTCCTGACCTTATATGAATTTGATATGATTGATTAGTGGGACTGACAAAGAATGGAGCTGGCCGAGGAAATCTCACAACACTTGAGTAGAGAAGGTGTTCTAATAGAGCTGGGAGAAGGTTCAGGCAGTGAAGGGCTTGCCCCGCCTCTCCGAGACGAGCACTGCGCTTCAAGCCCAGGACTCATTTTTTTAAAGAGCCCGTCAAGGACGTGTAATTCCAGCATAGACAGGTAGAGAGAGACAGGGAGACCCGGAGCTCTCTGGCCAGCCAGGCTAGCTGAATTGTTGATCTTCAGGTTCACTGAGAGATCCTGTCTCATAAAATAAGGTGGAGAGCAGCAGAAGAAAGCACACGTTAACCTCTAGGCCTATACACACACACACACACACACACACACACACACACACACACACACACACTTGTTTTTTACTTTGCGTGATGCATCATTTCTCCTTCTTAGGAAACAAAATATACCCCATTTTGTTATAGTTATCTGTTTAAGTTGGAATTGCAACAAAAATCTAGAAGAATCATTTTTAGCATTCCTTATGTTTTATGGAGTCATCAATTACATAAGAAAGATTTTTTTCTTTTTTCTTTTTCTTGTTTTTGTTGTTTGTTTGTTTTTCGAGACAGGATCTTACTATGTAGCCCTGATTATCCTGGAAATCTCTCTGTAGACCAGGCTGTCCTCGAACTTGCAGAGATCTGCCTACCCAAGTGGTGGGATTAAAGGTGTGTGCCAGCATACTCGGCATATTTTCATAATAACTAGATTTAAGAAGAATTTCCTGAACTGTAGGTGATATTGCTATTAAGAAGAAGTAGTATGGTAAATTGTTGTCATTAAGGAACCCTGCCAAAGGTCTTTGGGAAGGGATAGGATTGGGTCTCTAAAAGTTTGTACTGGTGTCCTCATTTGAGTCAAAGAGTCTAAAGAAGGAACACAGAGAAAACATGGAGGCTAGAGGACTCTGGCATGGCACATCAGGTGTGTGGAAGCTGGCAGATAATGTACACCAACTCAGGAATACCAATAAAGAATCAAAAGGTGGTTATGTGAACACAACCAATGTTCTAGTCTTCTAAGTTGATGTAGCCAAGAAAATGTGTTCCAGATTGAAGTGAAGCATCTCCTTGCTGCCTCAGAAAGTGTACAATAGTTTCTGTCTCATAATAGGTTACTCTATAATATTTACTCAGTTAAAAACTAAAGGAACCAGCAAGACTTAATAGAAGTATGTATAAGGACTGTTTACACAGTCTTTTAATGGCCTTTCTTTTTGGAATGTATGCTTTAGGCATGGAACCATAGTCTTCTTTTTCTGAGTCTACTGTAATCATGCCTTGTTCTTTTGGGAAGTTGGCATACTTAATACTATTTTAGCATCATTTTCCATTATACTAACCAAGTGAATTACTGGACATTGTTGATGTGTCCTGTGACCTCTGAGTGGTTATTGTATCATCTAGTTTAATTTGTAATATAATTGTGGAATATCTATAATTTGAATATGCTTATTTAGCACGTTATTTTTACCTGACCCTATGCAAAACTACCGAGTCTATTTTTTGAATTGTTGTGCCACAGATGTTGCTGTGGGGCGTTGCTACAAGTTTGGCCTTACCTAGAATAATCCCTGCCATAACTGTACATTGTTTCATGTTCTTCTTAGGTGTTTGTTACCAGCAGTGGGAAATACAATGAGCTCGGATATCCATTTGGTTATTTAAAAGCTAGTACGACTTTAACTTGTGTAAACCTCTTTGTGATGCCTTACAACTACCCAGTTTTGCTTCCTCTTTTAGGTGAGTAAAATATGTGCTACTTAATCATCTTTAAAACATGGCAAATGTACTAGGTAGATAAAAGATTCATAAGCATTTCAAATTCCATCAAAGAATGACCAATACTAGAGTAAATACATTTGTAACTGATGTGGAAAGATAGGACTTCATTTCCTTTTTCTTTCTTTCTTTTTTTGACTTGTACATCAAATAGAAAAGATACCTGATCTGATCTTGGCTGTTCTTCAAATTGCAAACTCCATTAATCACCCTCCATTCTCCACTTTTGAAAGAATCTTGGCTTTTCTATAGATGAGTTGGAATGCCCCCAGAAAACTAGGTGGTGTGTGTGTGTGACATGAGCATGTGTGTATGTGTGTGTGAAGGCCATAGGTTGATGTCAGATATCTTTTTGAATCACTTTCCACTTTGATTTTTGAGAGCCAGTGTCTTGGTCTCTCTGGAACTTGCTGAGCATCTAGGCTTTTCCATGGGTGCTGGAGACCCAAACTCAGATCCTCATGCTTTCACAGCAAGCACTTTCCCAAATGATCCATCTCTCCAGCTCCAAAACTAGGGCTTTTGTTGGAGAGGAATTTGATGGCTTTCTTCAGAAACTAGGGCTTCTGTGAGGCTACTGACTTGATTACACTCCTTTCTCCCCAGAGTATTACATACGCTAAAAGCATATGTTTTAAGCAGGGTGGGGAAGTAAGGTACAGAGTCAATTCTGCAAAGCAGGGTTAGAAGTTATGAATTGGTTCCATGACAAAATTCTAAAGGATCAACTTAATTAGCCATTACTCAATGCTGTTGAAAATGTATATGAAGATGTTTACTCTTCATTTGAAGAACTATATCTTCTTAGAGTAATATACTGTATGACATCCTTCTACTTGTAAAGTTGTGAAGATTTTTGGTGAGGGTTTCTAAATTTTTGTGTAAAAGGAACATTTACAAAATTTAATCAAGGTACTACTTACTATTAATGTATGATGCATTTAAAAGGCAGTACTTTATTCGTATTTAAGAAATTTAAAAGTAGGTCATCATAAATATATCAGCATGGTTGCTTTGAATATTTCACTTTATTTCTTAGTCCAGTCTAAACATATGTTCTTTCTAAGAGTTGCTGCTACCAGTAGAAAGTGTGGGCTATATGTTAGAGGATAGTATGATTACCAATAAAGGGGCTGGCAAGATGGCTCAGCCTTTAAGAGCACTTGCTGCTCTTCCAGAAGACACAGGTTCCCTATTTTACAACTAAGTATAACTCCAGTTCCAGGGAATATGACACCCTCTACTGGCCTCTGAGAGTACTACATGAACATGACATGCAGGCATACATGTTGGCAAAACAGCCATACACATAAAATAAAAATAAATAAATCTTTCTTAAATCACTAGTAAAATGTGTCTCTAGTTCATGTATTAATCTATCCCTTTTCTTAAATATGTCCTAATGACCTCAATTTCCACAAATATATAGTAAGGAAAAAAAGAGTCATTTTCATTTAGGCTGCTTTTTTTTGTTTTTTGGGTTTTTTTTTCTATTTTTAAGTGTACTTTTGATCCACTTTATTGCACGAGGATTGGCATACAAAAAACTATACATATTTAATCTCCAGCATTCATGACTGTACACCAATGAAACATCACTACAATTTATGCCCTAAACATGTCCCATTCTTGTCTTTCCAAAGTTTCCTTTTTATTATTATTTTTTATAATGAAAGTATATACCATAAGATCTACTCCCTGAGTAAAATTTCTACATACAAAACACTAGTGCTAACTATTAGCACTTGTTACGGTGCGGAAACAAAGGAGACACAGAAGGACAAATAACCCATGATAGTGCTTACATACTTCTCCAGCTTATGGTCTTGTGTATTGCCAGTTGGCCTCAAGCTCTCTGTGTAGACAAGGATGTAAACAGTAGAGAGACATTTAGATATAAACAAATCAGATAAACAGAGAAAGTAATACCCTTAGTTTTTATTTTCTTTTTAAGAATTTATTCTTTTATGTATAGAGGTTTTGCCTGCACGTATGTCTATGCCCCATGTATGTGCCTAATGTCTACAGAAGCTGAAGGAGAACTTCAGAGTCCCCTAGAACTGGAGTTCTAGAAAGTTGTACACTGTTATGAGCGGAGACTCAAACCTGGGTCCTCTGGAACAGGAGCTACTTAGTGCTCATCATCACTGAGCCATCTCTCCAGCCCCAGCCTTACTGTTTTCAATAACGGCAAACGCTTTGCCTAGAAGCTGATTGAGTCTATTTCTTGTCAGATTTGTTTTTCCAGTGCTGGGGATCAAAAACAAGCCCTTTCGCAGACTAGGCAAGTGCTATCCCACTAAGCTACATTCCAGCTCTGCAGACTTTTCAAACTTCCATGTAATTCCCAAAAGACTTCAAGAAATAGCACAGTATAGCAGGGTCTTCCCATAGCGTTTCATGGCTTCCTGTCAAGACATGAATGGTCTGTAAAGGACCTGAGGGCTTCAATCAAGGACACCTTCTGATCTCTTGCTTTCTTCTGGGGAAAAAAAAAAGAACAAAAGACCTGCTTTTTATGGCTCTGTAAATTTATTGAAATTTGTTTCACAGGGAGTGAAATAATTTATTAGGGCAATAAAGAGAAGAAAATATCTAGTTGCTTTTCTTAACCAAAGTACTTTTTAAAGAATAGACCTATTTGTAAAGAATGTATGCATTTTTCCCTCTGTAAGTCAACTATTTGCCTAATGAAGCTTAAAGGAACAATAGAGGATGAACTGATACTATCTGCTGTCTTTATAGTGTGAATGACAGGTAAATGTTGATAGCCGGGATACCAGTTTGAATTATTAAGTTAGAAATATTTTTCTCATACTTGGGGGGAAATAAAGAGGGTGTTTGGAAGTTTTCATGCAATATGTATAATGTATATATTTAGATTACTAAAATAATTATATTTATATATTAAAAGATAGGGAATATCTGCATATTTAAGGTAAATATCTTGAGTTATGTTGGTGCACATGGTGTTCAAGAGATATATTAAGCCAGATGTGGTGGTGCATGCCTGTAATCCCAGCAGTTGGTTGGCTCAGGCAGAAAGATCCTGAATGAGCCAAGCCTGGCTACATAGTGAAATCCTGTGACAAAAAAATCAAAAACAAATAGAGAGGAAGGGTGTGCATGCCATGGCACGTATGTGCAAGTTAGAAGAATCTGTTCTCTTCCTCCTGCCATGTGGGTCTGAGGAATGGAACTAAGGTTGTGAGGCTTGGCTGCAGGCACCCTTACCTGCTGAGCCATCTTGCTGGGCCCCACCCTCTATCCTTTTTGTTTGGTTGGTTTTTTAAGACAGGCTTTCTCTGTGTAGCCCTGGCTGTCCTGGAATTAGCTCTTCAGACCAGGCTGGCCTTGAACTCAGAGATCTGATTGCCTCTGCCTCCTGAGTGCTAGGATTAAAGGCCTGTGTCACCATGCCTGGCCCATGCTTGGTTTTTAAACCAAAGAAATATTAGTCTGTCAACCAGTGATCTGGATTCCCCTCCAGGTGAAAATTATTATATTAGAATTATTAATGCATAACACATCAGGAAAATATTAAGCTTTGCAAATGGAAAATGGGTGTGTAAGTTGAAATTTTACTTCATTTTTTAAAAAGACATGGTAGATATGCTCCTTGACTTATGATGGGGTTAAGTCTAATAAATCAACTGTTAAGTCCAAAATGCCCCTACTACTCCTAACCGCCAGATCATGACAGGTTAGGGCCATGGCACACCTCACAGTGTCTCCTGTTTCCCCATCAAGATCCATGGGGCTAACTGGGAACTGTGGTTCACTGCTGCTGCCTAGCATTGGGAGAAAGTTCTCTATTGTGCATCACTAGACTGAGCAAACATCACAAATTAGCAGTTGTAACATGGTTGCTATTGAATATATATTACTTTCCCACCAGTGCTTTCTCTCTCTCTTTCTTTCTTTTGTTTTTTGAGACAGGGTTTTTCTGTGTATCAGTTCTGGTTGTCCTAGAACTTGCTCTGTAGACCAGGCGGACCTTGAACTCACAGAAATCCACCTGCCTCTACCTCCCAAGTGCTGAGATTAAAGGCATGCGCCACCACTGCCCAGCTTTTCCCACCATCTTGAAGTTTAAAGAAGTCTTCAATTGAACTATTGTAAGTTGGAGACCATCTGTATGGAACTTCGGTATATACAACAACCAGGAAAGACAATCAGATAAACTACAATGAAGTGTTCATCTAACGTGAATCAAATCCGATTTCTAATGTCAACTGCTTGATTTTACATCTTGCGAGCTGGTTCTGGGCTAACGATTACTTGGTTTTGTGTTACAGATGACTTGTTTAAAGTTCACAAGCTTAAGCCAAATCTGAAGTGGCGACAGGCTTTTGACAGCTACTTAAAAACTCTGCCTCCCTACTACTTAATAGTATGTATTTTTGTGTGTATATATGCATATGTATTAGCTGTCCATGATGATTCTTGTCATAAGGAATCAAAAGTTTTGCCCCTGCCAGAAGATAACTCTTTGTACTGTCCGAACATTTGTGCCGCCACTGTCTTCTCAGCCATATGTAGAGTTTGGAGATGATATGGCGGCACAAAAGAGCATTGTCTTTCTGTTTCCTTTATTTTTAACTGCCATGGTCATTGTTATAAGCACATCTATGTTTCTCTTATTAAAACTAACCTTATAAAATTGTAATTCTGGAATGTAAGAACAAGTATGTCTCAATTCATGTTACACCAACTTCCCTTTTGAACTCTAGAAACTCATTGTGGCGTTTCAGTCCATAAACAAAATTTGGAAGAAATTATAGTTCTTTATTGCTGGTTAAATGGGTCCTTGACACAACATGATGTGGAGGCGTTGGCATTAGAGAGAGGATCCAAGGAGAAGAAAACATCTTGGCCTCATTCTGGTTTTTATACTTTGAGAAAACGATGCCTAATTATTCTGAACTGGTCATGTAATCCAAATCAAGACAGTCAAGGTCATTTCAGTAGTTGCTGTCGTAACTTAACGCCAAGTTTCTAGAGGTGAAAAGGCAGAGTCTTCAAGGGGACCATTGGTGTTGCTGGGAGGAAAAAGTGGGCTGTGTTGCTGTTTACCATGCAAGTGTGGGTTCTGCAATCACATGCAATGGGAAGTGATTCAATGGTGGGGATTAAGACTGAAAGCAATGTACTTGTTTGAATTGGCTGCTACTTGCTCTTCTTACCCACTCTCTTCTGATTTTTTTCTGCTCCTTACTTCTCTGCTGTTTTCATTGCCACTTTTTAATGTTCCATGTTTGGTTTTATGTGCAGCACCTTGACTTCTAAGAAATGAATCATGTCCCCTTGCCCCTTATAACTGAACTTTTGAGTATTGAAGATTTATTCTATTCTTACTGTTGTGTATTTTGTTTCCTTATAGCCATTAAAGAAAGCACTAAGGATGATGGGAGCTCCAAATCTGATATCAGATAATTTAGATTGTGGACTTAGTTACAGTGTTATCTCTTACCTTAAAAAACTCAGCCAACAGGTAGTATTGGTAAAAACAAACAAACCAAAATCCTTTGCCCTCAGAAGTGCATTTCCTTATTCTTTAGTGTAATTGTAACTTTTCAAATTAAATGTGTATATATCTCTACACTTTATGGATTAGTAATCATGTGATTCTCTATGGCTTCTAGCTTCACCATTAAACGCAGTTAAGGGTCTGTCAGTATCCTTTGATGCTGTGCCAGTTTGTTCTGCCCATCTGCTGGCTGATATTTTGTGGCCTAAGAGGGGCAGAGGCTTCAGAGGCTTCTCTTGTGGGTCACATTTGGTCTGTCCTCCAACTAGTTTCTCCTCAATTCACTTGGCTAGAGCATCCCCCTTTTGTGAGTCAGCACACCAAGGTCTGGTGTGATTCAATATGCCTTGCCTGAAATCACTTTTCAGGCAGCATGTTCAGTTCTTATACTCACAAGCTAGCCCTTGGATAAATAGCTGCCTGCTTTTCCCTGGAGAAGGGGGGGCACGAGACTAGTATTCTTCAACCTAGAGAGTGATAGACCCCCAAGGGAACCTGGAGAGTGGAGTTCTTCCTCCTCTCTTGCCCTTCATCAATTCCTTCAAACCCCACCTCATTCACCATTATTCACCTTGTCCCTTGCCTGCCCCTCTCTATTAGTACCTCATCTTCCACTCAACCCTCCTTATCATATTTCTCACTTTTACCTAGACCATTCTTGTAGGATGGAGATATTTGGAAACTACTGAGTTAGAGCGCTACTGCCATACAATTGTGCTGTGTGATAAATTAATGCAGCAGCTTTATGCTCTTATTCACAAATACATATTTTTTTCTAGGTAGGAAGTTACATTTGCAGCAACTACAGCATTTCAAGCTGAGTATGTTTGCAAATTTGGCCTTTTGAAAACTGAGTACTAAGCAAAGTGGCAGATTTTACTAAGGGACCTATAGGACTCCATAACTGGGATGCTGGCATGCCTTGCTAGGAATGAGCAAAAACTTAAAACCACATTCTAAAGCTTACAAATGCATACTAGTCTAGTGTGCTTATAAGTGCAAAAGAAAATAAAGGCAAGCCCAGATTTTTGACATAACAAGTCCCCCTAACCTGCATTCCTCTCTGCTAATAGATTTTTGTTGTTGTTGTTGTTGTTGTAAATACCTTGGTTATTTATCTTTCTATTGATCTATTGATTTTTTTTTAATTTGATGTTTATGTTTGGCCTTTAAGGCTTTGTGAGAGTATGGCTACAAAGGAAGAAAAGTGAACAGAGTTGAAACTAATTCAAGTGCTGGGATCTTCTGGGACACACTGTATTCTTTCATTGAATGAACTTTCAAGGTCATTCAAGGAAACAGAACCTTTATCTACTTTTGTCTCATATTTCATGACTTAAAAATTTGCTTATATATATTATATATGTAATATATATATTATATATATTCCAAATAATTAGTTAGGGAAAATAAATATCTCTGGCCAATCCATAAAAAACAAAAAAAAATATTGGGGGCTTATTGAACATGGATAGAATTGTATTTTTTAGAAAAAGGAAAGATTATTGCTAATTTCTATTTCTCTAATGACTAATTTAGTATCTATGTCACCAGTGTCCCTTGAACCATCTCAGATGGATCTAAAACACGAAATATGCCAGATACCCTGCTTTCATTCATTCAAGCAAAATTAATTGATGCAATGTCTATTAAAGGGATTTCCCAATGTTTGTTAGTGAGAAACTTACTGAGTAGACATTAAAAGTATTTGCTTAGTAATATTTGTTAAATTAAGCTTTACTTTTATAAGATTTATTGAATCATCTCATATTTTTAAAAAAATCATTTTGCTGTTTTTAAATATAATGCCAGTGTATGTGATCTGAATTTAAGCAATAATTTACATGTATGAATACAGAGTTTTAAACCTTTGTATCTGGATCCAAACTGAATGTGTTGATATAGATTAGATTTTGCAGTAACAGTATGTGCTTTTTTATGTCTATGAATGAATTCTTGCCCATGGTTTCTATTTTCTCCATGATTCGTTCATAGTTTTGACACTACAAAAGAAAATTTGCATGAAGTCATTTGTCTTTCCAGCCCTCTGTGTTTGCTGTGGTAGAACAGAGAAGCATAGGGAAATGTTCACTTGACTGTTTTCTGTGATTTGCACATGAAAAGTGTTCAGTGGGGCATTTTTCTTAAATAGTAGAATGATGATGGTATAGTAGATATTTGGATGACATATTCTGTCCTTTCATTTTAGACCAAACTAGAGTCAGAGAGAATACTAGCATCAGTGGGGAAGAAACCCCCGCAGGAGATTGGTATCAAAGTGAAAAATCATTCTGGAGGTGGCCTGGCCCTGGCTCACAATAAAAACTTTAGAAAACTGTTGAAAGAAGTCATAGGGGAAAGTGCACCAAGACTGACAGAACTGAATACCAAAGAATTTGCTGGCTTCCAAGTAGGGCTCTTCAACAAGGTAAATTGTGCCATTAAAAGGCATGTTTATCTGACTTTGCCTGCTGTGTTTGTTGTTTGTATTGCTCTAGTTTTGAAATAATGGCCTGTTTCAGAGTTGTTCTTATTAGTAGTATCAGTATTAGTATTCGTATTTTGGTGTTTTTTTTTGAGACAGGGTTTCTCTGCGTAGTCCTCCCGGTCCTGGAATTTGCTTTGTAGACCAGGCTGGCCTTGTACTCAGAGGTCTGCCTGCCCCTGCCTCTGCCTCTGCCTCTGCCTCTGCCTCTGCCTCTGCCTCTGCCTCTGCCTCTGCCTCTGCCTCTGCCTCTGCCTCTGCCTCTGCCTCTGCCTCTGCCTCTTCCCTCCAGCCTCCGGCCTCCGGCCTCTGCCTCTGCCTCTGCCTCTGCCGGGATTAAAGGTGCACATCTTGGAGTTAATAATTATTAACAAAGCCATTTTGAGATTATTCTGCCAGCAGATACCAACATGAAATTAAACTTACAAGATATATTGCTTGGTAGGAGTGGGCAGTAAACTGCTATGAAAAGGAAAATGAAAGGAAACTGCAGTAGGCAGGCCGCCGTGTAGATCTAGCAGCCATGACAGAGTAGTAGCAAGTAGTATGGGGCTGAAGAAGCTCCCTGCAGCTTAGAGACCGCCTGAGCCAGACCACAGGAAACCTCTGGCCCCGGGCATTCTCATGGAACAAGTGAATGTGATCAGAGCTGGCTGGACCTTCCACTCTGCATGTCTGAGTCCCTGGCCATGAGCAGCCTGGCTCGTGCTCAGGGCTGCAGCAGACTCCAAAGGTACTGCAGCTGGGTCCTCAGCCAATATCCGTCCACATGCAATCAGGACTTGCCATCCTGGAGGGAGACTGCTGCAGCCCACCTCCCTGCCTGCTGGGGGAATAAATCTAGGTTACAAGCAGTAGTCCTGCAAGACAGCTAGAGGTATATATAAATCTTGGGATTTGGAGTTTTAAATGATATACTTGAAAATTATATCCCCAGTGACTTTAATGACCTATGGGTATGTTAGCATTCAGAATAGTAAATAGAAGTTTTCTACTGGAAAAATTAGCTGTAATTGGTTGTATTAAATATTATCCTCTTCAATAAGATTTTAAGAGGGTTAGGTATTACATTTCTTTATTTAAAAGCCTTAGGAGTAACTCAGATTGTTTCATTTAAAATAGGATTTGAAACCTCAGACATATAGAAATGCTTATGATATTCCACGTAGAGGACTTTTAGACCAGTTGACCAGAATGAGATCCAATCTACTGAAAACTCGGAAGTTTATTGTTGGACAAGATGAAGGTAACTGAGCAGTGGAATACACTTTTCATCAGGAGAATAGCAGACATAACTTACATGAAAGTCTGTATTACAGAATTATTTTGTAACGTGTTAATGTTCAAAATGCTCATATTCACTCAAACCTGCATCTCCCTAGTTTTCCTCCCCTCAAGTTTAAAAGCAGGTGCGTATTAACCAACATTCTAGACCACCATTGCCAATGTTCTGTGTGGCCACTCTTGCAAGCCTCAAAATCCCAGGAGATAGATACTGATTGTATGCCCAGTTTATAGGCACTGAAATGAAGAGCGAGCATTTCAGTAGCTTGCTCAGGCAGGTTTAGCCCATTGCAAAGTAGCAGAGCCTATGTCTGTCAGATTTCCAAACCTGCACACTCAGACATTGATCGTGCCCAGCCAGCTGTGAAAAAGTCAGTAGAGAATCCCTACTCTCCATGAAAGTAATGAACTCTAGTTAATGTCCAGGAATATTGTGGCTGTTTGCGATTTTTCTTGATCTTGTTTTGTTACTTTTGAATGGGGTCACTTATCCACAAAAAAAATGAGCAAACCCTAGCCTTGATATACCTTTTGTATGTGTGTGAACAGAAGAGTCCTAGGAAGAGAACTTTTGTATTTAATCAAATCCTCAGAGGATAAGATCATTAATCGAGATTCTCTTTGTGACAAGAGATTACCATGAGTAGCTGGGCATGGTTGCTCTGCACTCAAGAGCCTGAGGCAGGAGGATTCTACAGATTTGAGGCCAGCCTGGGCTACAGAGTGAGAACCTTTTCCAGAAAACAGAGAGAGGGGCTGTAGCGGTGGCACAATGTTTAAGAGCACTGGTTACTCTTACAAGAGACCCCAGTTCAGTTTCCAGCACCTACATGGTGGGTCACAACTGTCCATGACTTCAGTTCCAGGAGATCTGATGCCTTCCTCTGGACTCTGCAGACCCCAGGCCTGTATGCAGTGCATATATATGCCTGCAGACAAAACATACACATAAAATAAAAATAAATCTTTTTTAGAAAACAGAGAACAACAATGTCTCAGTGCTTCAAAATGCAAAATGTACACAGTGTTTGGAATTCAAATGATGGCATTCGGGAAGCCAGCCCATTTTGATATGGCGTTGGGAAGTAAAGGAGTCATTTGTCCTTGTGACGTGAACCTGTAGGCAGTAAAGTAATTGTAGACCACTGATTAGTATAAATGAAGATGATGCTAGATCCTGGAATACTAGATTCGAGATTTCAGACTGTAATGCTAAGCTACACACTGCTGAGCCAGCTCTGATAATGTCCTCTCAAAAGGACCATATACTTCAGCTGTAAGTATTAGTTTCTCTGCTGCTGATTTTACAGATTCACTTCATAGTGTTCCAGTTGCACAAATGGGCAACTATCAGGAATATCTAAAGATGCTGGCTTCTCCGCTACGAGAGATTGATCCAGATCAACCAAAAAGACTGCATACTTTCGGCAATCCATTTAAGCAAGATAAGAAGGTAGTATACCCATTTCTGTGTCTGTGATACTTTTACGCTGTCCTTTTTAGCCAGATGTATACAAATCAGAGGTAAATATGACATCAGGACCTCTGTGTAGATGGGAGGTGGAGTCTCCTAATGCAAGTTGTATTAGTTGAATACAATAATAGTTGTCATTTGTTGAGTACATAGCAGGTCTTGGTGTTTTAAATGATTGTACTCACAAGTGTTTTGAAAGATAAATCACATCTACCCTGTAATAAGAACTCTTGGCTTAAAGTGGCTAGATGTCAAAACACTATGATATGGCTGACAAAGCCAGGATTTGAACCCACATCTTTCTGGATCCACATTCTATATTCAGTCATACTACCACACACTAATTCTTTTAATATAGAGAATACCAAGTATTTCCTCCATTTACATGATTCACATCTATGTGTATGTTCCTTGAATTATGATGTACTATGTGATGTCACTTTATTTGAATTATTCTAGAGTTCTAAATATGAGGTGTGTATGTGTGTGTGTGTGTGTGTGTGTGTGTGTGTGTGTGTGTGTGTGTGTGTATGTTACACTACTGACTTGATCATTAAATAATGAAAAGAAATGGGATTATCACTACAGTTCTGTAGGCAAACATGGCTAGAAGTCATGGATATATTCTGTATCTCTCTTTGTCATAAAACTGAACTAAAAAAATATTCCAGCTCATGCCAATCCTTAGTTAATTAAAGATTTTGAATGTTTTTGTGCCTTGACTTCCTCATGTAACACTGGGGACAATAATTACACCGAACTGACAGAGCTGTGTGGAATACTGAGTTATATACACCTACACTGTTTAGACTATTACTCAGCATTTAGTAAATGCTCAGTAAAAATGCTGTGTCTTTTTGCATGGTTAATGGAGGGAGAAAATTCTTGAGAAAGATAATTTTGCCGTGTTTTTTTCCAAGTAATAAGGTACATGTTTGGGACTGTCTGCTGACACAGAGCTATTAGCTAAGATAAGTTGTTGGTGATTGTCATGTTCATCTGTTCTCAAGAGCGAACAGCCCCTCATTCCCTGAGGAGTGCCGAGGTAGACAGACATATGTGAATCCATATTTGAGGTTGTGTCTGAGGGAATTATGGTTTTGCATTTGCCTGCCTTTCACCATCCACACGCACTGCTCTGTACAGGAATAATCAGTGTTTCTTAATTGTGAGTTTAAAGCCCTACAAAGGGCTAGTGCAAGATGCTTTGGTTTGGTTTTGTTTTTTCGAGACAGGATTTCTCTGTGTAACTACCCTGGCTGTCCTGGAATTAGTTCTATAGACCAGGCTGGTCTTGAACTCACAGAGATCCACCTGCCTTTGTCTCCTGAGTGCTGGGATTAAAGCTGTTCACTACCACTGCCCGGCTTGCACCACCACTGCCCGACTTGCACCACCACGCCAGGCAAAAGATAGTTTTTGTAATACTTTAAAAAGGGTGACTGTAGCCAAGTGGTGGTGGCACATGCCTTAATCCCAGCACTCTGGAGGCAGAGGCAGGTGGATCTCTGTGAGTTGAGGTCGAGGACAGCCTGGTCTACAGTGCAAGTTCTAGGACAGCCAAGATGGTTACACAGAGAAACCCAGTCTTGGGAGGGGATAAAAGGGGGGAAAGGGTGAATGTGGTTGCTGGAAAGATAGCTTAGCAGTTAAGAGCACTTGCAGAAGACCCAGGTTTGATTCCCCGCACTCACATTAGGTGACTCACAACTTCTATAACTTCAGTTCCAGGGGGATCTGACACCCTCTTGTGGGCTCACTGAGCACCTACATGCATGTGGTCCACACAAGCAAGCAAGCGCGCGTGCGTGCGCGCGCACACACACACACACACACACACATTGCTGTAAAAAGATTTTAAAGATGACTATGGATTGATCTTGTCTTGGTTGGTTGGAGGCTCTCAATTAACCTTAGACAAAACCCTGTATGTTAGTTTCCTCCTTGTCCCACTTCGATAGGATTAAAGTTGGTTGCGTTTTCTCATAAGAGTTGATAGAGGGAATATAAAATTAAGGCTAATCTAGAGGATGTGGCGCATGGCTGAGGGGATGTGTGTATGAAAAGTGCTTAAATTGTTTTGGTTTTTTGACAATTGAACTTCTGTTTTAAACGACATATGTTCATTGATGTTTTTTAGGGAATGATGATTGATGAAGCAGATGAGTTTATAGTAGGGCCACAAAACAAACTGAAACGTCCTGGAGAACCCACAAGTCCTATGTCATCTAAGAGAAGGCGGAGTATGTCCCTGCTGTTGAGGAAACCACAACCACCACCTACTGTAACTAACCATGTGGGCGCAAAGGGACCACTCTCAGCCGCGTGGTCCCCATCTTGTCCAAACCTCATAAAACCCACCCTTGTACATCCAGGTATAGAGTAGTGGTTGCGATTTCCTTATGGCTCCTAGAGGACTAACACGTTAAACATTTGGTCTTTCCTTTGTGTTCCTTCCTGTGTTTAGTTTTTGTTGATTAAGTAAACCATTATTAAAGCATCTGTGGTAGGTACAACAGACCTTCCGGGGAGCAGAGAGCCTGATTCAGTGATCTCAGCCATAGGAGTGGAGGGAAAAGATACATAATTATAGTAATGAGCACATGATAGTCATGTCATAATTAGTGATTAATATATGCTTAGTAAGCATTAACACAGGACCTAGTATGGAAATGAGGAGCTGTGAGCCTGTCTGCTGTAACCATTTGGATCAACTTCAAAAGTTAGGAAGATAAACCAAGTTTCTAAGTAGGTTCACTAGGGAGAGGTTGCACCAGCAATTGCCCTCTGTGCCGTCACCTCCTATTCATGGTGAACTGGTAAAGCTGGGGTCGACCTCCTTGACCCCACGGAAACAATTCTCATGCTCACCAGTGTTTTCTGTACATTGTCTTTCTCTCTCAATAGAGTTTGGCTCAGTTGTTATGCCCGCCTCTATGGGAGCCCTTGGGTTAGCAGACACATAGTTTTCTTTTCCCTCTAGGAGTGACTCCTTTCTATGCTTTCCTGCTTGCTCCCCTTCTTTCTCACACCTAGATACTATTGGCTCCGGGGTGCCAATCCGGGGACCTAATCTCACTGTGCTGTCTTCCCAAGGTGCTCCCCTGCAGCCTTGGGGCTTTCAGTTGGGTTTCTGTTTCAACATCTCCCAATGTTTATACCTCTAGACTACAACTCGTTCCTCTACTCTCAACCCTGTATTTAGCCACGGATACAGTGCCTCCATTTTAGAGTCTGATAGACAACAATGTTTTAGGTTTTATAACTAAATGCCTAGCTTTGCCTCTCTTCACAATAGCTCTGCTGGCATCCTTCTGCATGACAGCTTATGAAATTACCCCTCACTCCACTGGAAAATCTATGTCACCTTTAAGGTAGGCTTGAAGAACCTTAGATTATAATGCAGTGTGACTAATACTGCATTATTGGTGCTGAATGATCAATTTAGTTACTGAACGAGAGTCAGGAAGAGTTGAGTATCATCTACTCTCAAAGCCAGTAGTGTGCTGGCTTCTGGACATGTGACTATTTATTCAGTGGTTCAGGTGCAAGCCTCAAAAATCACCACAATTTTTAAAATCGCTTTCTTCCGTTAACAAGATGAGATAATGTGACATTCAGTTTAATCCTTGTGTCTTACTATTTTTCTCCGTTCCCTCACTCCATGCTTGCAGGAATTTTCTCATTCTTGTTTAGTTTCCACCCACCTTCTCTGTCAATTTGAAGTAAGAATGAAGATGCCAGCAGACAATAAAAGCATGCTACCTCCACACAGAAAATGCGCCCTCCATGTTTCTCAGCATTCAGGCTACAGCCTGACTCCTAAGCCTGGTCCACCACACAGCTCCATGTGGCCTGACACTGCAATCCTCTCTTAGCTCCAGTTCCAACGATCTCCTCCTCACCTTTCACCCCGCTGCCCCTGGCTTCCTCGCTGTATCTCCTGCCCTCACTACATTTTGGCATCCTCTCAGAAGATCCTGTCACCACCTGGCAGCCCTGGAGGCTCCCGCTCTCATCCCCTACTATGTCTTTCCTCAAATAAAAGTAGCTAGGAGTGTGTGTTGATTCTGTAACTCCTCTCTGATGGACCCGTAACACTGTAGGTTCTGTGAGGGCAGGCAGGGTCAGCTTCATTGTTTCTTGTTCGCTGCTGATTCCTAGCTGCTACTCCGGTGCCTGGCACAGCAGGAGATAAGCAAATGGCACGGAGGTGTTAGCCTGAGAACAGAAAAGTAACTACTCTGGCACAAAAAGGGAAATGGGCAGAATCATCTACAGATAGGCAGTTGCTTAGCAGGTGGGGGCAGAATATTTGTTCAATCCCAGTAAGCATCTCAGTTTTCTCAGAATATTTGGTTTATACGGAAAGCATATGGTATGCAGAAGTTATAGGGATTCAAACGCAGTAAAGGGTAGCAGTTTGTATGTGTCTTTGAAGCATACAGGTTGACATTAAGCCCTGAGCACCAGGGACCTATGAGTTCTTATTAGTATCTTTCTGTATGCATCTCTCTTAGAGAGAGACCATCTAAGGTAGTAGTTTGGTTTCTGTATGCATTCATAGTTGGGAAGAGTCTCATCTCCATCTCTTCTATCCTCTTCATCAATGAAAGCAATTATTTCCTTGAAACTGAGGAACATGGAGAGGAACTTGTGGGATCGACATGGTGTACCCACTTCACAGCTCAACTTCTAAATTTGCTTTCCAGATGTCCCTGTCATTCATGATGTCCATGAAGAGAAGATGGAAAATGGGCAAAGCCCAGCCGATGGCTTCTTATTAAAATCTGCTCCGGCAGAGTTTATGAATGTGGCAGGAGACGGCCTCATATCCAACCAATTGGATTCTCTATCTGATGACTTTACTAGTCTCAGGAAAGATGGACTCATTCACAAACCTAGTAATAATATACTTATAGGAGCAGCCAAAAGCTGCAGTCTTTCTGTAGATGACAGAAAAATCCCAGTGGCATCTGCTTTGGACACTGTGCCAAATTCGATGCAAATCACTCCTGCGATGGCACAAGGCATCAATGCTGACATAAAGCATCAGTTGATGAAGGAAGTTCGAAAGTTTGGAAGAAGTAAGTAGTGACGGAATATTTATAAATAAGGCAATGGGAGATCCTGCTTGTAGGATTCCAAAGAGATTTTTGTTGGTGGTTTGGAGATACTCTCTCATTACAGCTCAGGTTGGCCTCGAACTCTGTGTGGTCCAAACTGGTGATAATGCCTGATCTTCCTGTCTCTACCTCCATAGTGCTCGGATTACAGGCATGTGCTACCACAGCCGATTAAGGTGCTGCTAAGGATTGGACCCAGGGTCTCCTGCTTGTTCGGCAGCCACTCTACCAAGTGAACCAAATCCTTAGCCCCAGAGTAGAGTCTGGACATACATTTTTTGGTCAGTCTTGGGCTTTCACATAACTTAAAGTGATTCTTCTGGCCTTAACTTACAGTAGTTTTATTTTGCTGCTCTAAAAAGTTATCAGATGACCCATAGATTCAGACAGCACAAACTGATTACGTTACAGCTTTTCACTGGATTAAAATGAAGGCAAGCTGGCAGGCCAGTGCTTCTTCTCAGGAGTAAAGGCAATATCTGTTTCCTTGCCTTTTCTGGCTTCTGAAGGCTGGCTGCACTTTGCTGTGCCCATGGTCCCTTCCTGCTTCAAGTCAGCAGCATAACACTTTTTTTCTTTGGCTTCCACTTATGTTATTAATGTCTTTTCCTTCTGATCTTTAAGCTTTAGCTGGCGCTCATCTTTAATCCTAGCACTGGGGAGGTAGAGGCAGGCAGATCTCTGAGTTCAAGACCAGCCTGGTCTACAGACAGAGTTCCAGTACAGCCAGGGCTACACAGAGAAGCCCTATCTTGAGAAAAAAGAAAGAAAAAAAAGATTTATTTTCAGATTAATTCTGAGACCTCTATACAATATATTTTGATCCTGTTCACCCCCAACTCCTCCCTGAAATCCCTTCTAGAGCCACCCACCCTCTGCTCCCTCAACTTCCTCTCCTCTTTTTTTAGTAACTGGTTGAATCCACCATGTACTCCTGGGTGCAAGGCCATCCACTACTATGGGCAACACTCTCGAAAACTGATTCTCCCTCTTCCAGAGGCAATCAAATGTCTATACTATTCCATCTTACAAGGATATTTATGGTTACATTGAACCCTGTGCATAAACCAGGACAAACTCAATATCCATAACCTAATTCCATCAGCATATAAAGCATATATGGTAATAAATTCTCAGGCTTCGTGGATTAAGGCAGTTTGGAGCAACCAGTATTCAGCTTACCTCATTTGAGTACTGCATAGGAATTTCCTTTTTAAACGTATGTAGACATTTTTATTTTAGTGCTTAATATACCAGTTCTACTTATGACTTTCTACCCATGAAGAATGATTTCTGAGGATGGATAATGATTGGATTTGTTCCTCATTCATATTTTTATAATACTGAATTTTGTAATATCACCAGAGTATGAAAGGATTTTCATTTTGCTTGAAGAAGTGCAGGGACCTCTGGAGCTGAAGAAACAGTTTGTTGAGTTCACCATCAAGGAAGCTGCAAGGTGGGTATAAACAGAACTTGTACAGGTTTTCTACTTGCTTTTGGTCCTGGTTTTCTTTTCTTTTGTTTACTTTAGTTGTCGGATCCAATGAAAGACAGAAGGGGATGGGCTCTGCCTTGATCTGTGAAAGAAAACATTTGTCCTCACTCACAGTTAAAGCTGCTTCCTCCCTCCAGTGTTCAGATGGATACCAGCGGAGTCCTGATTCATGGCTCCTAGCTAATGTGTGTGTGGGACTTGGCTTGGCACTCCCATTTGCTAAGTCACACCTTTCCATGAGGGTGACTTATTCTCCCTTTGGGTTGCAGGCTGCACAACACCCTGTGTAACGTCAAGTCTTCTATGATGTTTAATAATATTTGTTTTTATTCTCAGGTTTAAAAGAAGAGTCTTAATTCAGTATCTTGAGAAGGTACTAGAAAAAATAGATTCCCATCACCTTCTTAACAATGTGAATCATATCAACAGCAGATCATCATGTTAATACCAAGACAAGTGAGGAAAAAGAAGAGCTTTTCTGTGCTGGAGGATGGATGGGACCTTACTGAAGCCCTCTAGAATGTTTGAGTGAAGGGAATGACCTAACTCAGGCTAAGAAAAGGCTTGACTAGAGCTTTTAACGATTATCTGGAAGTAAAATCTGGGCTTTCGCCTTAAGAGTTATAATTAAAAGTATTTTTTTATTTCTTTGTTTATTTTTCCAATTAGGAAAAGTGATGTTAAATCCAAGCACTGCTGCTCCTCCTACAGCTAATAGAGTTCACTCATTTGAGCGTTACCATTCCAGACGTTTTCAGAGTGGGCAGGGGCCACCTGGCAGGAGCGCACGCCTAGTGTCTTCATTGTGTCCCATAGAACAAGTATATAGAATTGAAGTGGTAATCGTGTGCTCAACAGACTTTTCAACAATTTCTAGCTGTGCCTTTTAAACCATGCAATATTCAGGATAGGTGGAATCAAAGAGTAAAAAGCTGCTATTAGGTAACGTAGTTCTCTCTGGGAAGGGGCAGGGAGAGTCACCAAACAATCTACCTCCAGTGCTCTTCCATTTTGTCTAGAAACATTAGGAAGTGCGCCTGAGGCTGCACTAAGCTCTCACATTTGTTCTTGCATGTGACAACAGAGAGTCTTCAGGTAGACTTGTACATCTTGTGCTTTGGAAGCACTAAAAGGAAAAATAATATGTATATTTTCTTTGATGTTTATATAAAAGTTTATATGGAGCAGTATTGTTGCTTTTATTTGTAAAAATGTAAGTGATCAAAGAGATTTTCACTTTGCATATATGAAATAAAATCATTTTATTGATTTTCAAACTTTATTGGTAATACATTTCTAGTTGTGTGTCTCGTCATGGCATTCCTTTCAGAAAAAAAAAATTATACACTATTGTAGTTAGAATTTTCTTTGGGCCGCCAACTAACTCCCAAATAAAGAAATGGAGAGTTATTAATTATGAATGCTCAGCCTTAGCGTAGGCTTGTCCCACTAGCTCTTTTAACTTAATTTAATCTGTTTCTATTCATCTACGTTTTGCCTTGGGGCTTTCTACTTTTCTTTCATTTTGTATGTCCTACTTTCCTACTCCCTCCATGTCTGGCTGGCCCCTGGCATCTCCCTGGTGTCTCCTTTTCTTTCTTCCCTGAGCCTAAATTCCTCCTCCTACTTACTCTCCCTGCCCAGAAGCCCCACCTATACCTCCTCCTTCTCTATTGGCCATTCGACTTTTTATTAGGTCAATCAGGTGCTTTAGGCAGGCAAGATAAAACAGCAACACATCTTAAATAGTTAAACAAATATTCCACACCATAAACAAATGCAACATAGTTAAACAAATGCAACACAATTTTGCATAATTAAACAAATATTCCGCAACACACTATCAAACAAATTAACAAGTTAACAAGAGGCCCCATAAGATGGCTTAGCAGCAAAGGCCCTTGCCACTAAACCAGATGGCCTGAATTTGATCCCTGGGACCCACAGGGTAAAAGGAGAGAGACAACTCCCAAAAGTTGTCCTCTGACTTCTACATGCACACTGTGGTAAAAGCACATATGTATATATGCATAAATGAACAATTTTTCTTAATTTTAACAAAGGAGTTGAACTTAGAAGCATAACTCACAGGACTGAATGGTGTTATTAGAAGGGTTTGGGGAGGCCAGACCCTCCCAAATACAAGTAAATGGGGGGAGAAAACTGCCAAAATCAAATTTATTGGAACTCTGAAATATAGCCAACGAGTTGTTCTCTCTCTTTTTTTTTTTTTTGAGAATTTCATACGATGTATTTTGAACATATTCATCCCTGCCAAGTCCTCCCATTACTACCCTTTCCACCCCACATCTCTTCCCACTCAATTTTGAGATTTCATTTTTTTCTTCTTTACCCATCAAGTCCAGTATGTGTTGCCCAGATGGTCATGGGAGTGTGGCCTGCCCTGGGGTGTGGTCAACCTCCCAGGAACTGCATCATTAAAGAAAACTGACTGTTCCTCTGCCAGCAACTATCAAATGCCAGCAGCTCCTCAGCTGGTGGTGGAGTCTCATGTCTACCTTTCCCTCTCTGAGCTGGGATTCTGTCTGGTTGAAGCTTGCGCAGGTCTTCTGCATGCTATTGCAATTGCTGTTAACGCACATGTGTGTCTGCCCTTTTATGTGTGGAAAGCGGGTTCCTTGGTGTTCTCCTCTAGCTCTCACAGTCTGTCTTTCCCCCAAAGATCCCTAAGCATTGTGGGGAGGGGTGTTAATGAATGTCCCATTTAAGACTGAGCACCCCAGTCTCTTATTCTTTGCATGATGACCAGTTGAGATCTCTGTGTTAAGTGCCATCTACTGCAATAAGCTTCTCTGATGAGAGGGGAGAGATGCACTGATTTATGGGTATAGCATGTCATTGGGAGTAATTTTCATACTATGTCCATTTAGGAGAATGATAGAATTAGGTTCTTCCCTATAATAATATACTGGATAGGACCTCTGACCTATCTAGTCACAGATTCTTGGCTACTTGAACAGTACCAGGTATGGGTTACTTTTCATGGAGTGGCCTTAGATCCAATCAGAAAGTAGTCAGTCGACTACTCCCATAACATGCCATTATTGCATCCGTGGGCACATCTTGTCACACCTGTTGTAGTTTGCAGGGTTCACAGCTAAGTGAGACTGAGGATGGCTTTTTTCCTCCAGCAACATGCACAGCATCTTCTAGCACCATGAACGCTAGCCAGCAGGGATGAAGCTTCCAAGTAAGTACCAGCTTGATTTCTCCATGTTCTGTGACTTAACTTTAACTAACTAACTAACTAAATATATATATATATTTGCATAAAGAAAGCTGCTGAGTCACCATATTTCTTCGTTATGCAGCTAACCCTAACTTGACAGGTGTCTTTATCTGGCTTCCTCTCTCAGCTACTCCTCCCATTCAGGATAGGCTGTACTGTCTCCAGTCACCTCACAGCTGTTTTCTTCCTCCTCCTCCTCCTCCTCCTCCTCCTCCTCCTCCTCCTCCTCCTCTTCTGCTTCTTCCTCCTCCTCCTCCTCCTTCTTCTCCTTCTTTTTTTTTTTTTTTTTTGGTTTTTTGAGACAAAGTTTCTCTGTGTAACAGTCGTAGCTGTCCTGGAACTCACTCTGTAGAGCCAGAGCTGCCTGCCTCTGCCTCCCCGAGTGCTGGGATTAAAGGTATGTGACACCACCGCCCCACAACAATAGAATCTTAATCAAGTTCTGGAGGGTAGCCAAGAGTATTGACAATAGTCTATAATGCTTGGAAGTCTATGTCACCCCATTGAGCAACAACTCAAAAAAAGGTAGCTGTTACTGAGTAGTTTCTTCCAGATTGAAAAATTCCATCATTTAGGAAAGCTCTTTAAAAGAAGGTAAACAAATCAAAGTAGCTTCAGGAAGTCCCTGAAACTGATCAGATTCACTAGGCCCCTCCTTGCCAGAGTAAAGACTTTTGAGAGTCACTCTCAGACAAGACAAGCTTCAAAGAAGACCCTGAGACCAGACCATTAGCCTGGAAGAAGTAGAAACCAGGGAAGCTGCCTGGAAGAGGTTTAGATCGATTGAAGTACTTGGAATGGACACTCTTCAACCTGTTGAGATGTCTGCAGGCTGTGCAGTGTGCTCCAGGTTCCCAGCTTTGTGAGCTGTCACCTGTGCTGGGGTGGACTTTGGTGATGCAGCTGCCTTTGAGTCATTTCTGCTTCTGTAAGTAACCCCTCCCCCATATTTCTGTAAGTAACTATAATAATCATTTGATTACCAAGTTGGACTTTGGTGGTATCTGTGCTTTGGTCTGGGGTGAGTAGACATGTGTGTAGAATCTCCCCAGGAAAAGTCTTGTCAAACAGCAGCAACCCATTTCTGACATTTTATTTGCTAGTGTGGGGTGTTTAGTTGGAATATTATCCAGGGTGTATAATAACCAAAATGAAAGTGGAATAATGTGAAAAGCCATGAAAACAGTAGGAGAGCTTTGTGGTGTTTCAACCTACACTTGTCCAACCCTTTTCAAGATACAGTCATGGTTTTGAAGATGACATAGTAATTGGATTCAATATATAAACCACTTCAAATCAGCTATCTTAGACATCAAAGAGCTAAAAGAAAACATGGATAAATAGCTGAATAAAAGCAGAAAGATTATATATAAATGAAGATAATGAATAGATAAACAAAAAGAGAGGAAGCAAATAGAAAGTATGGACCTACAAAGTATAAAAACTGACATGGAAAATTCCCTAAGAGAGTTCAGTGGCAGACAGAAGAACCTGTGGACTTGAAGATAGGTTGATTGACATTATCCGATGTGAGGAGCGTAAAGAAACTGGTATTAAGAACAATGAAAAGAGCAGAGGATATAGCTGTGAAGAGACCTGCATTCCACGCCTGAGCACTAAAACAAAACAGAACAAAAACCAAGAATTTGACACCCTCACCTTAGCCTTTGGGCCACATCAAGCATGACAATCAAGCATACTTTTCTATCACTGTGACAAAACCCTATGACCAAGGCAACTAATAGAAGAAAGTGTTTATTGGAGCTTACAGTTTTAGAGGATGAGTCCATAACTATCATGATGTGAAGTATGACAGCAGGTAGCCAGGCACAGCATTGGAGCATTGGCTGAGAGCTTACATCCTTATCTGCCTGAAGGCAGAGAGAGCTAACCTGGAATGGTGTGGGCTTTGGAAACCTCAAAGTCTACGCCTAGTGACTCACCTCCTCCAACAAGGCCATACCTTCTAACCCTTCTCAAACAGTTCCTCCAACTGGGGACCAACTATTCAACTATAAGAGCCTATGAGGCCATTCTCATTCAAACCCCTATAGTGTACATTAATAGGATCCCTGGAAGAAGATGTGAGAAAGCAGTGTGAAGACTATGTAAAGAAAATATTTATAGACCCCATAGTCCCAAACTCTCAAATTTAATAGTGGATGTGTGTCTGTATACCCATCCAACTCAAGGATGTGCAGAGCAGAGAAACAGAGGGACGGTAACATAATCAAACCATTAAGAGACAAAGAGGATTCTGAAGGCTGCCAGAGACCCATCGTAATTTTAACATCTGGCTTATCAGAAGCATGGGAAGACAAAAAGCAATATAATAACATTAAAAATGCTAAAAAGGAGTTGCGGTTGTACTCCAGTAGAGTACTGTCTAGTCTGCACAATGCCCTGGATGCTGTTCCCAGCACTGCACAAGAAAAGAGAGAGATGGATTCAAGCAGTGGAAAGGAAGTGCTGTCAATCAGGAATGGTATCTCTGGCCAAACAAACCTTCACTAATGACAGTCTCAGACAGACAAAAACGTAAGAGTTCATCACTATCCACTGCCTGAAATCCACTGCCAGCGTTCTCCAGGCTGGAAGGAACAAACGTACATAATATAGCAACTGACAGAAATCAAGAGAAATTCTCAGTGAAGGTATCTGCATAGGTTACCTTTAAGTTTTAGTTTTAGTCTTGGGAGATATAGAGCTAATAATGATTACAGAGTTTTTCTCTGTGGGGTAAATAAGTTTGGAAAAAGTCATAAAGGTTGCAGAATATTGTGCATGCAAAAAGCCACTGAATTGCACACTTAAAATAGGTGAACACAGCAAATTTACGTCATATATATTTAAGCATGATTTTAAAAATGTCAGCTACCAAAAATCACTGAAGTGAAACTTAAAATGGAGGAATAGCACTATGTGAGAGTTTTATGTTGATATGCTTGTTGAATATTGGGGAAATGGGTTTTGAAAGAACATGATGTAATCATATGCTGTGTACAAGGGGCACATGAGATTCCAAGCCACAGGCAGATTGAAAATGAAAAGATATAAGCAGTTACTCCATGTAAATGATCATCAACAATGAAGTTGGTGACAATATAAGACAAAATAGATATGAAGCCAGAAATTGTTACATGAAACAAATAATGACCTTATATATTGATAAGTTGGACAATTCACCAAGATGTGCAAATTATAAACACATGCAATAAATGAGAAAAAGTAAGTGAAACAAAAATTGAGAGAATGAAGGAATATAGAACTCCACAATAATAGTTGGAGACCATTAGGTAGAATTATTCAAAAGATGAACAAAGAAACAGAGGACTTGTAAAATGCTAAAAAAAAAAAAAAAAAAAAAAAGCCCAGTTGTCTACGACATACTTATGGAACACCACTCATTAAATTTGTCACTTTTTATGCATCCATCGGGATGATAGCTAATTTCGCCCACCAGCTCCAAAAATCACCCTTTTGTCCTGCTCAATGAAAAAGATTCTGGTTCCTTTAAAGATCTTTCTTGTGGCAACTGCCACTGAAGTCTGTCTACAGAGGACTCCTGGACACTATAAAGCCCAACTTCCTGGTTCTCTGGGCTGGTAGCAGCCAGTTTTCCTGATCTCCAGGCTTGTGTATAGAAAGTTCTGGCCTCTCCCCCACAGCTTCTCCATGGCCCAACTGTGGCAAAGCACAGTAGTCCAGCAGCAGGAGCTAGCCAGTTATTTCCTTTCTGGTCTTCTCAGCCACGAATAAATCAGAGTTCTTCTGGCAAGACTAGTGCCTCTTCATTTCATTCCATTCCAGACACACCAGGGGAGCAATTTCCAGTGGTCAGTGCTCAGAGCACCAGTTTCTACAAAGTTCCAAGTAACCACACTGCAGACAACTGCACAATCACTAGGCCTGCTCCACAACATCAGGATTTCAGCACCGAGATGCATAGTGCTCCCTGGGTGAGTGCTCTCATTTATCGTGGATGGAACGCAACTCCAAGTTGGGCATTCTCAGTCTATCGTGGGGCGGGCGCTGTTCCATAGGATATTTATGATGGTTCTTTGGGGACACCTTTGATGGATGTTTGTTCCAAGCTGGAGAATGCCTTTCCTGCAAGTTCTCAGTTGTTCCGTGGGCTTGGGTGGGCTTCCCTCTGGTAGGGTTCTTCTTCAAATTTCTGAAGGACTTATGAACCACTCTGCTTGTGGTACGCTCCTGCTCTGCGCATGCACATCGAATCCTGAGGAGGATAGAATTCTGTGCCGTGGAAGGAGAGTCGATGAGGCTCAACGGCCCTCTTCGGCAGGCTTCTCAGCCGTCTTCTCTGTGATTCCTCTGCTACTTGTGAAGTTGGAAAGGGTTCCATCAAGTGTAAGTCTCCACTTGGAAGAAGGGTTCTTAACTATTCTTTCTCAGCCTCAGGCGAGGATAAGTCTTTAAGAACTCGCCTTGTCTACCGAGAGGGGATGGTTGTTTTTCTTTTCTGAGTCAGCCATGTTGGGCTGGGTCTCATCAACCCAGGGGTGGGTGTTTTCCTTGTGTCCTCAAACTCAGCCAGGCTAGTACCTGGCCTTGGCTACAGATGGGGTGACAGTTTTCCTTATGTCTTATAACTGAGCCTAGGGGTGGCAGTTTTTTCTTGGGTCCTTAACATCAGCTATGTTGACCCAACTCTACTCAGTGGTGGCAGTTTTCCTTGAATCTTTGAACTCAGCTAGGTTGAATCCTGACTTAATTACACAAGGGTGGTGATTTTTCTTGGATCCTCGAATTTGTAATGTTGGGAGATGTATCAACTATCCATAGGTGGTGGTTTTGCTTGGTTTCCTGACCTCAGTTATGCAGGGGACTCAGCTTCTGAACTGTGTCTATGCCCTAGGGCTATGGTTTAGGTGAGCACTTTCCTGAACATCGGTGGTATGTAGAGAGAGACCAGGATGATCAGCCTAAGCCACGGGATGGGAGGTTCCACCTGGATCCTTTTGTCTTGGTCCAGAGGGAATGTTTCCCTGAGGGCTCAATATAACCCTTCAACTGTTGTCTTGGGCACCTGAATCCATTAATTTGGGAAACTTCCAACTGTACCACCTATTGCCCCCAGTGGGTTGAATTTTTGTCACTCAGGTTTCCATTTTTGCCACTCAGGTGGCAAGTCCCGTGTCAGGACTTGCAATTCTCTGATGACTAGGGAGATTGAGAACCATTGTGTTTCTGACTTCCTGCACAACTTTTGTTGGGATATTTGTATTTGGAAATTTAGTTTGTGGTTGAAATCTGCTCATTTGTTGTTGCTGCTGCTGTTGTTGTTGTAGCTATTTTGATAAAGGCTGCCATATACCCCAATCTGGCCTCAGATTTGCTTTATAGCTGAAGCTAGCTATGAACTCCACTCCTGCCCTCAGGCTCTCATGTGCTGGAGTTACAGATGTGTACTACCACATCTGGACAGTTCCACTCATTTTTCTAGATATATGTGCATTGATGTATATGCACACATCTAAGAAGAGAATTTTAAATTTCTTCTTTGTCTTTCTGCTTTTAAACCTCTTTTTTTCAGTTGGGTTCTTGCTGTGTAGACCCAACTGGCCTCAAACTGCATCCTTCTGGCATAGCCTCTTCAGTGCTAGGATCTGTGGCACCATGTCCAGTAATAGCACTGTAGAACTGATGTCTTTCGGTTGAATGGAAATTAAAATTCAATCTTTGTGGCTAGCGGTCTTATTCTTCAAAAGAAAAAAGCTTTAGTTAGGATTTCCTTTTGGTACAAGACTATAATCCTAGCTACCTGAGAGGTTGAGGCAGGAGGAGTATTGGAAGCTGAAGGCCTGTCTGGACTACCTAGCAATTTCATGCCAGCCTGGGCAATTTAGTGAGACTTGTCTCAAGAAAGAAAGAAATAAGTAATAAATGGACAGATAAAGATGTGTCTCAAGGTACAAGACTTGCCTAACATTTTTGAGGTCTGATTTCAATCCCTAGTAACATGCCGGAGCCTGCGGACAGTTAGCTGGGTATCTGGGTAGATGTGTGTAGAGATTGTAGAGACAATGAAGAAGACAGAAAAGAGTCGAGAGGTCTGCCGGTCAATGCCGGACAGCCCCGAGTTTATTTCACAGCCAGCTTATACAGTCTTGAAGGACAGAGGTAGAACAATGCACAGCGCAGGCATTCAACCACTATCTATCCTGCCTTGCGTCAAGGAGCAGGCAGTTTCATTTTCTATCTCCATGTACCTCTGGCTGGCATCAGCAGCCTGTGTCTAGCTAGATAGTGTGTTCCTTCCTATGGGGTAATCAGGACTTTCTCACAGCCCTTCAAGGAGACTATGCAGGCTAATCAGAACTTTCTCACAGCCCTGGATCAAGCAAGCTTGAACTCTGTTGACTCAGAATAGGCTTCAGATTCAAACTGGGAAACTGAGTCAGTTGTGGGCTCCCACAATAACAAAAGCAATCTTTGCCTGCACAAACAGAATAACCTAAGTATACTTACATGTCTCCCATGAACTAGGAGTCAAAAGGTAATTTTTCTTTGTCTTTATGATGTGAACTTATTTTTTTCTTAATCTTTTAATTTAAAATTTTTTCATATAGTATATTTTTGCTGTATTTTCCTATCCCCCAACTCCACTCTGATCCTCCCCACCTTCCTACCTGCCAACTTTATATTCTTTCTCTCCCCTCAAAAAAATTTTAAAAAAAAACAAAACAAGTAAGACCAAAAAAAAAAAAAAAAAAGAAAGGCAAAACAACAAAAATGGAAACAGAAACACCCCTCTCCCCAATTATGGAGTTCATTTTTTGTTGGCAACTATTCCTGGGCATGGGGCCTACCCTGAAGTGTGCTTGGTAGATCCCGGGACCGGCCATTGACGAAAACCGAGTGTCCTTTGCTAGAATGTATCAATTGTAAATAGCTTCTTCAGTAGGGTGTGATCCTGTGTCGGCTTCCCCATCTCAGTGCTGGGACCCCATGTGGCTTGAACATGTGCAGGCGGATCTTGTGTGTGCTGCCACAGCTTCTGTGAGTTCGTGTGTATATCAATCCTGTTGGGTCTGGAAGACAGCTTCCTTGGAGTCCTCGGCAACCGCTGGCTCTTCCAATCTTTCTGCCTCCGCTTCCACATGGACGCCCAGGCCCTCCCTGAGGGGGGAGTTTGCTGAAGACATCCCATTTAGGGCAGAGTGCTGCAAAGTCACACTCTCTGCACGTTGTCCGGTCATGGATCTCTGTGTTACTTTCCATCTGCTTCAAGAGGAAGCTTCGCCAACTTTGAAGCTTTTGATTTGCATGCTACAGTCTGAATAACCACAGAGGGTAGGCATAGTAAGGGGACAGTGGGGAGGAGAGGCTCTCATGGGAGGGGAAACAGAATATAGTGTTAGGAAGAGGTAAAAGGAACTCTTATTCTGCTAAGGGACTATAGCAATAAAATGATTCCCACTGACATTCTGTTGTGTGCATGCATCAGTTCCTTGCTTGACCCTCATCAGAGAAGCTTCCTGATGTCAGCTTAGTCAACAAAGCATCTTTTCCAGGATGGTTAACTAGCCTAGGTGCTGTGAATCTAGTCATTTTCTTTCCATCCTTGTGTCTAAATCCTAGAGCCTCTCCCACTACTGGGTTTGCCCGTCTTTATTCCAATATCCTATGATTTCAGTCATATTGGTTTTTAAATATTATATGTGGGGGGGGTGTGCATGTATGTGCACATTAATTTGGAGGCCAGGGTAGTCCCTGAGACCTCAAGTGTCATCTTCAGGGCCATTGTCCACCCCCTTTGAGATAGAGTCTCTCGTTGGCTTGGAACTTACCAATTAGACTAGTCTGGTTGGCTAACAAGTCTCAAATATCTGTTCTGAGTGTCTCCTCTTCCCTATTGCTGCTGGGATTACAGGTGCACACCGCCATACACGGCATTTTCATGTGGGCTCTGAGAATCAAACCCAAGGCATTGATGGACAGCTGTCTCCCGAGCCCTGCTTGCTTGAAAACTCCTATCTGGGAATGTTTCTTCTAACTTTCTTGTTTTACTTAAAGACTGGATAGTCTAAGCAACTTCATATCCGTACTCATTACCAGGTTGCCTCTTTTTTTCTTTTTCTTTTTCTTTTTGTTTTGTTTTGTTTTGTTGAGACAGGGTTTCTCTGTGTAGCTTTGGCGCCTGTTTTGGATCTCACTCTGTAGACTAGGCTGGCTTTGAACTCACAGAGATCAGCCTGCCTCTGCCTCCTAAGTGCTGGGATTAAAGGTGTGTGCCACCACTGCCTGGCTCCAGGTTGCCATTTTTCAAAATCAGTTAGCATAGTGAGATTTTTGAATGAGATTGTTATCTTTCTAGAAGGAATTAATGTTAATGAGCTTTTAAAATATGACTTCTACTCCATGCAAAGACTATTCTTTTCAGTTTACCACAGTCTCCACTTTCTCTAAATGATGGTTTATACTTTGTGTGTAATGCATTAGCACATCCGCCAGTATATTCCTAAATGTTCAAGGTTTGGAGCACACTTTCATTGATACTCTGAGGTTTATTTACTAATTGTTTGTGCTTACTATACAGAAATATAGGTGACTTGTGATCCTTGTCCCTAGGTCCAGAAACTTGGCTGCTGTCACTTAGTAACTGCAGTGGTTTTGTGTCATTTTAAACGGTCTCTCCAAATAGAAATGCCACCTGTGGGTAACTCCACTTGCACTTACTCTTTCCAGCCTTTCTCTCTTCACATTATTAGAACATTTAATGTAGTGTTGCTTGGAGAATATGCATCCTTGTATTCTTTGCAACTTGGGGGAGAAATTGCTTGGTATTTTTAAATGGAGTTTGATGTTGTCATAGATTAGTTTTTTGTTTTGTAGACACACTTTATTATTAGTGAAGTGTGACAATGGGGTGTCATCAAGATCTCATCCTCACGTGTCATTGCACTGTGCTCAAGTTCGTCTGGCCATCCCCTCCCATCTCCCTCTTCCCCCTCTGCTCCTGCACTTCCTCCACCCAAATGGGCCTGATGCTGCTTCCTGTTGTGTATCCATAGTGCTCAGTCTAGATTGTCATATGAGAGAACACGGCGATTTTGTCTTCTGTAGAAACACTTCAGTGGGTCACGGCACTTGTTTTGTGTTCTCAGTTGCTGATCCTTTCAAGTCATGAAGAGGATTTGAACTTAAAATGACCTATTTCCTTGACCCTTTCCCGAGCTTAAAGTTAATTGAAGTTAAAGCAGCCTTGCCTTTCTGCATTGACCTGTACGGTGACATGCAACATGGTTTCCACTCACCTTTGGTTTTTGTATAATCGCTTTTTAAAGATGTTCATCCCTATTTTCAGGAGAGACTGTACCCCATAGTTTTGTTTTCTTCTAATGTATTTTATATAGATTGTCATTAGCTTTCTATTATCTTCACAAACTGCTTTGGGAATGAACCCATTTTTTTTCTGCTTGTGACAGAATTTACCTAAAATATTATATCCCCATTGGAATGCTTACAGGACTCCTTAAAAAAGCCTTGCGGGTATAAAAGTTTCCAATTTTGCTTTAAAAAATTTTACCAAATAAGACATTTTGATTTTGTGTCCCAGAGGGGCAGATTTTATTAGGTTATTTTTTTCTACAATGTATCTGTTTTTATCTCACTTCAAAAACCAAAAGTGAAGTATTTGGTGTTTAGTCCTCCCTTTCCCTCACTTCTGGTTCCTGGTTATGTAGTCTTTAATTCTTTAGCCAAGGTCTCATCTGTAGCGGAGACTGACCTTGAATTTGCAGCAGCTCTCCTACTGTCGGGTCCCATATGCTGCTCTAACAAGCTGGAACCCTGGGGCCAGCTCGTGTGCTCCCTCTTCACTGTGGTTACGGTGTCCTTTGCTTTGCCTTTTAATTTCCTACCACTACTGTCTGAGAAAACATAAGACTTGGATCTATTAAGACTCACTCTACGACAGAAAATGTGATGTGTTTGTAGAACATTCCATGGACTGCTGAAAATAGTATGCATTTCCTAGCTATTAGATGGAATATTCTGTAGATGTCTGTAAAGCCAGTTTGAACCATGGTACAGTTAAACACTGACGTTTCTTCATTGGTTTTCTTTTCTGGAGGATCTATGAATTGATGAGAATCTGGTACTGTAAACAGTCAATCACCTTTGTTATATCTGAACCTACCTGTCCACGTCCAATAGTTTTGGGTCTATGAAATCAGGTGAACTAACATTTATTGTGTATATTTAGAGTTGTTACATCTTTTTTGATGTGTTGTTTTCTTTTTTAAGATGCAGTGACCTTCTTTATTTCTTTTTATAACTTTCACCTTGGGGTCAGTTTTTTCAGATAGGAATCTAGATGCTCTTGCATTTGCATAGATTCTGTTTGCCTAGGAATGCAATGTTCCATACTTTCACTGTTTTTGTTTATCCTTGACAGTGAAGTTTCCTGAGACAGGAGACAGTTGAATCTTATTTTTAATCCCTTCATCCAATATGCATATTGTAGTTGGAGAGTTAAGACCATTTATATTTATAAGGTATGTATTAATTTCTCCCATATTCATCTTAAAGCTTTGTAGGTTTACTGAGATAAAAATATTTGCCCCTTTCCAAATGCCCACTTATCTTTCTATTCTTCTGTTTTTTTATTCCCCAAGCTTTCATGTTGCTGTCTATCTTATCTTCTGTGTATAATATTCTATTAACTATCTTCGTTGGCGATAGCTTAGTGATGATGAATTGCTTTAGTTCATCTTTATTATGGAAGGACTTTATTTCTCTTCTGATTTTAAGGATAAAAAATGAGGGAGTAGTAATCTTGGTTAGCAGTTACTGACTTTCTCTCTCTCTTCTTTCTTTTTTTTGTTTGTTCTTTTGAGACAAAGTCTCTTTATATAGCCTTGGCTGTCCTGGAACTGACCATGTAGACCAGGCTGGCCTCAAACTCACTCTGCTTTTACCTCCCAAGTAGTGGGGTTAAAGGCATGAACCACGGTGCCCAGCTAGTTACTGACTTTCAAGAGTTGAAATACTGGACAGAGCAATGTGTCAGTAGGCGGAGCTGATTGCCTCCAAGCCTCATGACCTGAGTCCGATTCCTGAGCCCCATGTGGTGGAAGGAGAGAACCAACACGGCTTTGGTTTTCAGTACTTGGTCCGGCTCTAGGGTTTCTTCACAGAAGTCTTCTGGTTCTGATGGGTTTGCCTTTGTACCTAACTTGGAGCTTCCGTCATACAACTTGCATTAAGTTTTCTTTGGCTCCATCCTTATTAGAGTTTTAAGATGACATGGAGAGGTAGTTTTCTGGGCATGTCTAGTCAGGGTTGCAAATTTGTCCTGTCCTTACATGACCATATCTTTCCCAAGATTTGGGAAAATTTCTGCTGGACTTTTGTGGAATAGAGTTTATGTGTTTAGATTGTAACTTGGTTCCTTTTTTAAGCTCAGAGTTCATAGGATTGTTCTCTTTTTCAAAATATTTGTTTTATGTATGTGAATGTTTGACCTGCATATATATATGTGTGTGCATCATGTGTGTGTCTGCACAGAGGTCAGAAGAGGGCATTGGATCCTTCCCTGGAACTGGAGTTATAGATAGTTGTGGACCACCATGTGTGTGCTGGTAATCAAACCAGAGTCCTCTGAAGGAACAAGTGCTGTTGATAGCCGAACCATCTCTCCGGCCAGGCTTGGTCTCTTAATCATGTCTCAGTGTTCCTTGAATGCTGTGGTCATGATTACTCTGTTTTTTAAATTTGATTGTTGCTATGTGAGTGCAATAATTCCTCAGTCATGTATTTAATTCTTGGAATTCTTTGTTATGCTTGGTCTAGATGCTCTCTTTAAACGTTTTGTTTAATTAATTAACCGTTACATTTCCAAGGTATCTGATTGGCTCCCCCACCCCACCCCCAGAGGGATGTCTATCTCATTGCCAAAGTTTTCACCCACTTCACGAATTTACTTCTTCCCTTTATTCTTCCATTTCTCGTGACCCCTTTGAGCTCAGAGATCATCTAACACACTGAACTTCTGGGTTTTTCTGCACTGAAAACATTTAAATATTTTCACTTTATTTATCAAGAAGCCATAAGCTTTTAGAGGAACCTCATAGCCTTGCTTTTTTCACATTTTAGTTCCTGTGTTTTCCTGACTCTTCTCACTGGAGAATCACACAGATGAAACTTCTAAACTGCAATCTTACCCCAGAACCTTTGCTTTATTTTAGTTTCTATGTGTGGGAGTATTTTGCTTGCATATATGTTTGTACTCCATTTGTATGCCTGTTGCTGGCAGAAGCCAGATGAAGGCATCAGATCCTCTGGAACTGGAGGTACAGACAGTTGTGAGCCACCATATGGATGCTGGGAATAAAACTCAAGTCCTTTGGAAGAGCAGCCAATGTTCTTAACCATGCACCCATCTCTCCAGCCCAGACCCTTTGGTTTTTTTTGCAGTGTTGTGTGGTTAGATTTTGTCATTAATGGAATAAAGCTGTTGATGTTTTCTACACAAGGATGATGGCTGAAAAAAGCGAAGAGCTTTCTGTACGCTCTGAAAAGGAAGAGGACCCTGCTGGAGAAGCTGTGGATCCTACATTACCCCCAATGGGAAGCATTGTGACCATGATGCCCGTGGAAGAAGAAGAGGAAGAACCCCATCTTAAGGCCTCATTCACTGCAAATGTAGAAGGTAATCGGGTCCCCTGTGGCTAGACAGTTACTGGTGTGTTTGCAAGTGGAAGGGAACATATGTGAACAGATGAAAATGATGATGTGTCCTCCATGAAGCAGCTTCCTGCACGTGGATGGGATGAGCTCTAACAGAGAGTGGAGATGCTGTGTCCCCTGGCCTGTGCTCAGCACCTGGATGTGTGTCTTCTTTCTTGTCCTCACCTCTCCTTCATGCCGTACTTGTGTGGTTTCCTGTCTCTGTGTCCTTCACCAGAAACTGTTGTGGACAGCATCAGTGGTCTGAGATGGCATTGCCATTCATGCTGAGCATGTTTTGAAGTAGCTATTTGCGTCTGCATTTATGGCCCTTTACCAGGGTTTCCATGATCTGCTTTGTCTGTCTGTTCCTTATTGGTGAATCTTTGCCACTGTTTTCCTCCCTTTTCTTTTATTCTTGCTTAACCATGCAAAGCTTTCTGAAGCAGACCATTTGTGCTTTGCATTATAGTCTACTCTAGTCAGATTGACCACACAGGACCGAAAATGTCTTCTCTGCTCTTTCTCCTTCCCAATGTTGTCTACTTCTTTTAATTTTTTATGTGTGTGTCCCATGTTTGTGACAGTGTAGGTAGAGGCCAGAAGATGATATTGGATCCCCTGGAACTGGAGTTACAGGCAGTTGTGAACTTCCCAACATGGGTGCCAGGAACTGAACTCAGGTCCTCTGGAAGAGTGGCAAGCACTCTTAACTTTGGGGCCATCTCTCCATCCCCAAGGATTAGTTTTGGTTTTGGTTTTTGTGAAATCATTCACAGATTGGGATTTTGGGTGAAGGAGTAGCAATATCTTCTGTGTTATTGTTGTCGTTGTTTGTTTGTTTGTCTTTTAAATTCCTTTTTTTTTTCTTTTTTCTTTTTTGGCTTTTTGAGACAGGGTTTCTCGGTGTAACAATCATGGCTATCCTGGGACTCACTTTATAGACGAGGCTGGCCTCAAAAACACAGAGATCTGCCTGCCTGCCTCTGCCTCTTGAGTGCTAGGATTAAAGACGTGTGCCACCACCTCCCAGCAATATTTTTTTAAAAAGATTCTTTTTATTATTTTAGTTATGTGTATGTGTATGTGAGTGCAGGTGATCTTGAAAGCCAAAGGACTCGCTTCCTCTGGAGCTGGAATTACAGGTGGCTGTGAGCTGCTCAATGTGGATGCTGAAACTGAACTTGTGGCCTCTGAAAAGGCAATATACACTCTTAACTGCTGAACCATCTCTCTAGACCCTAGAAACAGCCTCTATGGTAACATCATGTGATGCTTTCATTCTCTAAAGGACATCAAAGTGAGACTAAACTGTGCCCACCAGGAATCTGCACCTGTTTATTTCTTCATTGTCCTGTCCGACTAGTTTGTGTGTGTGTCATGAATCCAGAAGGTCCACTGTGTCCTGGGGTCGCTTGGTCATGGGTGATGTTTCTCTCTGCTATATGTTCCTCCTCTGAAATGATTTTAGACCCTAGGGAGCACAGGGATGCTTGTGTCAGGGGACAGAGCTCCCCCACTTCACAGCTCAGCTTTTGTCTTTGCTTTCCAGGTGCTACTGTCAGCCCAAATGCCCAGGAGGGTGTGGTAAAAGGTGGTCCCACAGCAGCTAAAGGCTCCCCCAAATGGGTTCCGAGAAACAATGCTCCATCTGCCAAATCCAGTTATCTTAGCAGTGCAGGGCTACTTCCTGAAGGCGGTGATGGCACATTTGCAGGGGGAACTGTCAGCCGTGAGGTCCCTCCCAGGGTTACAGCAGCAGCTGACCGTGGACGTGTGCCCAATGGGTACCCTGTAAGCCGTGAGAAATTGAATGCTGAAATTAAGCGTCAACTAATGAAGGAAATTCGACGATATGGGCGAAGTAAGTACTGGGACAGAGAAGGAAAGTCCCTCTCGTTTTTCTATTAAATTTTTTTCATCTTTCTCTCTCAAAAACTCCAAACAAAAGTCAAAACAAACAATAAGACAGGAAATACTAAACACAAAAACAAAAACAAAAAACCCAAAAAACAAATGTATGCACACACTCTCACCTCCCCCACACACACACTCGAAAACCAGCCAAACAAACAAAATATGGAATCTGTTTTGTGTTGGTCAACTACTCCTGGGCATGGGGCTTTCCCTGGAGTGTGACTGATATACCCTGTGATACTCCATTGGAGAAAGCTGAGCTTCCTCTTGCTAGAAGGATTAATTACAATAGCTTCTTTGCTAAGGGTGGAACTTGGTGAGTACTCACCCTCTCCAGACAGGGATGTTGTCTGGTTTGAACCTGTACAGGTCTTATGCATGAGTCAATCTGTGCATTAGTCCTGTTGTGTTTGGAAGACTGTTTCTGTGGAGTCATTCACCACCTCTGGCTCTTACAGTCTTCCTGGCTCCTCTGGTGCATAGAGCAGTGAGCCTGGAGAGGAGGGTTTTGATGAATATATCAAATGTAGAACTGAGAGCTCTAAAGTCTCTCACTCTCTGTACATTGTCCAGTTATGGGTCTCTGCATGCATTCTCATCTACCGCAAGTGGAAGCTTCTCTGAAGCTTCTCCAGCTGTATGATTAGAATAACCTGAAACTGCCTCAGGAGAGGGAGCCTTTGCCACAACCGAGGTTTTCTCTATAACTAAGTACAGTCGCTCTTTGACTAAAACATCTCAGCAGACTCCCTCTTTCATTTGTAATGTTGCTTGGTTATTTCTCATAAGAATTGTATTAGTGTCTATGCTGAGGCATTTAGAACACATACCCACCATTTAACATTCTTGACCAGAAAGCACATTACTGAGGTACACACGGATTCACCAGTTCTATTTCTTCATTTCTGAGAAATACTGAAATATTCTTATATTCTCTTCAGAGTATGGAAGGATTTTCAAGCTGCTTGAAGAAGTGCAGGGACCTCTGGAAGTCCAGATACAGTTTATTGAGTTCACCATCAAGGAAGCCGCAAGGTGAGTGCCCAGAGGAACCACACATCTTCAAGCTATTGGGTTACTGTAGTGGTTGGGTGCGGGGTGGAGAACAGCACCTGCTTTGAATTTCTCAGTCCCTGGCCCCCACTTTATAGTTAAGGCTGGTGACATAGACATTTAGGTTGATGTCACTTGTGTTCGACACATCCTTCCAGGCCTACTCAACCCTCCTTTGTCATGGTAGTCTTGACCTGGGCACTGATCCTCAGTAGACACCCTTCATATTGGCTAGAGCACCTGGTGCCTGGGATGGACTGACTATTCCCACAGATAGGGAGCCCCTGCTTTAGGTCACACAGAACTTCCTACTGCACAGGTTCTTTGGGTATCTTGTTTTTTACATGATGTGTATGTTTATTTTCAGGTTTAAAAGACGCCACTTGATTCAATTCCTTGAGAAGAAACGTGAAGAAATATTGTCTCACAGCTTTCTCTCTAACAGTGATCCACCAGCTGATATGTAATCCTGTTATTACTGTGGTCAGGAAGATGCAACAAATAGTTTAGTGTGTTCCTGAATGTAGTAGGAGGATGCTGAAGTCTCCTCGAATGTGTTAGCTAAGATAACTACCTCTAAGAAAACTGTCTTAAACTACTCTTAATGAAGAAGGGCTTTCTCCCTGTGCCTTTTGTTTGAAAGCATAACTTCTTGCTGGTTTGTTGATTTTTTTTCTCTCCCCTCTGCTAGTTGATGTTATTGATGTTATTGTCTCATCAGGTAAATATCATGACAAGTCTGTATTCTGAAGCAGGTCACCAGTGTCATCTCTGGTATTTAGAAATGCCTTCGTTCCCAACTATTTCCTATCCCCATTGCCCAGAGATATCCCCTCAATAGGACATGGTGCCTGGCTTTATGGGCTATCTCCAATCCTCTTTACTGAACATCTGGGCCAGTGAATGTCCTGTGTGAATCTGACTGCTGTAAATATCCATCATCTCTAAGTCCAAGAGTGCTCAGAAGGACTCCACGTCTTCCACACAATCCTCCTTAGCTCCTTTTATAGTAGCAGCCAGTTTCATTTGAAAAAAATGTTTTCATCACTCTATGATTTACAGTAACACATTTGTGACTATAGTAAAGGTAGACTAGGTCTTCCTAAATATTCAGAGGACATTTACGATTACCACTTCAGTGAAGACTCCCCTTCCTCCTCCTCCTCCTCCTCCTCCTCCTCCTCCTCCTCCTCCTCCTCCTCCTCCTCCTCCTTGATGCTAAGAGGAAACTCCCACCTTCCAAGTTCTTTCAACATGGCCTCCAAAGGCAGAAGGTGACATGTCAGAAGGTAACTAACTCCATGGTTACGCTGAGCCGGTCCAGTCAGGATTACGGCAGAAAGATCAGTGACAGCTGGCAGCAAGTGTTCATGGCTGTGCTTCCTTTCCTATGAGTTCCATGTTTAGAAGGGGTATAATGAGGCATATCTTGATGATCAATATCACCTTTCTAAGACCACAAATGGTTTTCTCATAATACAGTAGATGGGAATTAAAATTCATATCCAGAATAATAGCACTTGCTGTTCTTCCCTGAGGACCCTAGTTTGGTTCCAGCACCAAGGGCAGCTCACAACCACCTGAAATTCCAACTCCATGGAACCCTACTCCCTCCCTTCTTCTGGCCTCCATGAGCACCCACACATGTTGTGCGTGCGCGCGCGCGCGTGCGCACACACACGCACACACAGACACACATTTTACAAATATAAATACTGGGGAAAAGGAAGTTCATATCAAGAATAAGTGTCAATTCAAGTGTAAAGAGCCACCTTTTCTGTGATAGAAGCAAGCCAAAACAATCAAGCTGCCATTCAGAAGCTGATTAATCATTTTGGGACATGGTGCCATATGTAAGGTTCACAGTTGGGCTCTACCTCTGGCATATTGAACACTTGGCAGTGACTATGCCAACATCAATCCTAGTGAACAAAAGTCATTTTCTACATGCTTATACATAAATAACCTCCATCTCTCACTATGGGACCAGGATGCAGCATTCCATCTTAGAAATGGAAGGGGCATACCCAAGGGGGTATGGGCTTGCTCCTAAGAACTTAACTTTGCCTTAAGGTGAAAAGACAAAGAAATGAGTGCCACAAGCCTTAAGACATGAGGCCTGTCTAATGACCCAAGTGAAGATAAAAGCAGCTCACCACATGTTTTAGTCCTTTTCTTCAGAAATAGAAGAAAAATTATATACAGAGAGATATCTGAAAAGAGATTTAGTAAGAGGATTGGCTCACTTGATCATGGAAACTGAAAAGTCCCACAACAAAGTGGAGATCACAGACTCCAGGGAGAACAACGGAAGCTGATTTGATACCTCCTAGTCCAGTATCAAGGACCATAGAGTCTGACTGGAAGAGTGGGGGTGTGAGCCTGGATGGCAGTGCTCAAAAAAACGTGATCTTCTGACTTCCAAAGCCAGGTGGAAAAAGTTGTTCTAGCTCCAGAAGAGGGATACTTAAGCTTTCTGCTTCCCCCCTTTTTATTACAGTGTGTGTGTGTGTGTGTGTGTGTGTGTGTGTGTGTGTGTGTGTGTGTCAGATAGAGACACACACAGAGAGAACGAGAGAAAGGAGTCAGTCTTCTTTCACCATTCAGGTTCTGAAGATCAAACTCACTCAGGTCATCTCATTTGGTGACAAGCATCTTTACTCACTGAACCATATCCCCTCCCATTTTTTTAATCAATCCATGTCTCCAGCTAATTGGATGGTGCTCAACCACACTAAGTGTTAATCTTCTTCCCTGGGTCCACAGACAGACAAGCCAATCTCCCCCAGAAACACCCCCATAGACACACCTACAGTGTCTTGAATATTCAAATCCAATATCAACAGTACTTGGGAGGCAGAAAGAAGTGGATCTTTGTCACTTTGAGGCTGGCCTTGTCTACATATGTAGTTCCAGACCAGCGACGACCATATAGTGAGACCTTGTCTCAAAACAAAACCCAAATAGAATGTCAAACCACCTGGATTGCCCTTTCAGCAAGGAAGGGGTGAGTTCAGTGCTTGTTGAAGCCCTGAGAATAGTTAATGCTTGGCTATTCAGAGTGTTTTTTGAGCCAGTTCACATCCCAAATCAACCACGATACTAAATATACAGTTAATCAGCATCAGGGTTCTAGCTTGACACTGATTTTATGAAACTTTAGACAGAAGAAATAATTGATCTTGGTATGACATCTGACCTATGGAACTGCTCAACAACACATTCATGTTCTTGTAAGATGCTGAATTTGTGATCATTTGTTTTGTAGCAATAGAAACCTAATATAAGCTGTGTGGCCAGGCCTGGTGGCTCAGACCTATAATTCCAGCTGCTAGGAAGGGGTGAGGCAAAAGGATTGAAAATTCATGGTCCACCTGGGCAACTCAATGAGACTGTCTCAAAATGTAGAATATCATGTTCATGTTGTCAGCAATTTCTAGTAGGCCAACTTCTTGTGGGCCCCTCCCACCTATTGTTAGCAGTTCTTACTGGGGTACATTAGCTGTACCTCACAAGCATTATTTGAGCATGACTTACAGCACTTGACCATTAATTTTTTTCACTTTAAGATCCTGATTTTGTGTAGGATTGATTTCCCACATTTTCTCTTGCAAATTTGTTGCCAGCGTGTCTGGGTTACTTTCTACATCTTTCACAGTTAGAATTATGACATCAGTACAACAGAATGGTGTCCTGTGTGGTATAAGGAAAAGGTGATCAGGCCTATAAAGTCTCATTTAAGATACAAGCTTGGAGAGTTGATATGACCATAAAATAGCAAGTGATGATATACTGTTGCCCTTTCCAGGTGAAACCAAAGCATTCCTCGTGGTGATTATTACTGAAGAGAAACAAGTGTTCATCCCATTGGTGCTCTGTGCTAGACATTCAGGCTTGTGTTGATCACCAAAGCACCAAAACTACAAGTTGTAGTGTAACTAGAACAATCAGATTAGGTTTATGATAATTCCCTTACTCGTCTCTAAAATGTAATTGTTTTTACACAGGATAAAAGTAAGGTAAAATGGATGATACAATAATTACCTACATCCTTCAAGTCCTTGGTTGGTGCCACAAATCAGAACAGATTTAGGTAAGCCTGAACCATTCATTTTTTAAGGGGATAAAGGGCATGGCTCACTGTATCACCAACAAGAACTCCAGCCGGCAAAGGAGATCAATCAAGGACTGAAGGGGAAGAAAAATGAGTGAAGGAGCCAAAGGTAGCAGACTGAGTTCGTCACCTACATTTTCAAGAGTGGGGGCCTTTCTAGAGCTCAGCAAAGGGAAGTGACAAACACTGAGAAATACAGGGTAGAACACAAACTCACCTTTTAATGCCACTCTCAACTCTGGTACCTAAGTACCTTCCGTGATACCGCCAACCTTGCAGAATAGTACTTACATGGTGTTGTGGAGACTTGATGTTTTTTATCCCTTCATAAATTTAAAACTTGTGTGTGTGTGTGTGTGCGTGTGTGTGTGTGTGTGTGTGTGTGTGTGTGTGTGTGTGTGTGTGTGTGTTGCCTAAAATAAAAGCTCAATGGTGAAGTTATAAAAACATTTGAGATTCCAGTTTACCACAAATTACGTTTGAGAGTATAAATAATGAATGGTGTTCAAAATTTTCCCAACAGATACTAGTAGCAGTTATACCCAAATCTACATATACTTGATTTTCCCCAGTAGATGCTGCTACATGTAAAAATTACAAAGTCACTCGAAAATGCACAAGAATGCTGTATCTATTCAAAGTTTTGGTTATAAATATCCCTATTCTATTGTGTTACACTAGCGATTCTCAAACTTATTTTTCTCAGAACCCTCTTTACATTATCAAACAGGAATAAAGCCCTTGGAAGTTTTGTATCTGTGTTGTACTTATTTTTTCCATATTAGAAATGAACAGAGTTGCAAACATATTTCATTCAATTAAGAAGAACAATGCACTGCAGAATAGCAATTCCATTGATCCATTTGCTGAATGTCTAGCTGCATGACAAATAAGTCCAGATTATGTTTGACATAGGGTTTGCCTTTTTTCCTTTTTCAACTGTATAGAGCTTTAACATTTGTTTAAAAGGTTTATTTATTTTTATTTTATAGGTACGGGTATTTTGCCTGCATATATGTGCACCACAAGCTCACAGTCAGTGTCTGTGGAAACCAGAAGAGGGTGTGGGATCCCCGAGAACTAGAATTACAGACAGCTGTGAGCCATCGTGCTGGTGCTAGGAATCCAGCCCAGGTCTTCTGCAAGACCAGTCAGTGCCCTTAACCACTGAGCCATTTCTCCAGCCCCCATGCTTTTTATTCTTGAGTCACAATTCATTTGGTATGAAGTATTTCAGTCACACTTTTTATGAGGATTGCATAGACTTTGTTCCACTCTATGTCTGTGAGATTTAAAATTATTTTATTTTTTTAAGATTTAAAAAGTTTCTGACCATATGCTACTTGTATACAGTGCACAGTGGTTACATTGATAGTCCTCTCTCATCCTCTTTCCACTCCTGCGGACTCCCTTCTTCCCAACTCGTTCCCTCCTACTGTCATGTCTGTCCTTTTCCTAGCATCATGTCGATCATTTTCCTTTTTCTATTTTTTTTTAATTTTTAGGCCCTACACAGGCAGTCACTGCTGCCTTGTGTGTTCATGATTGCCATGGCCATGTCATTTCCAGTAGACGGTCCTCCACTGCATTCCTCCCCAGCCTTTGTTTCCCACTGTCTTTCCACATCCCCCACTCTTCAGTTTCCCCTGGGCCGTGGAGGACGTGACTGAGATGGCCCATTTGGAGTCAAGCACTCAGCAGTCACTTATTATCAGTACTTTGACCAGTTATGAATTGCTTCTTCGACAGTTACCTGCCACCGAAAGAGACTTCTCTAACCAAGACTGAGAGCTACATTAGTCTATAAATATTGAGCAATTTGATAGCATATCCATTTAACAGAGCATCAGTAGTAGATGCCCTCATAGGGCCTGTGACCTCCCCAACCACAGGATTTTATCAGGTCAATGGTGCCAGGCATGTGTTCCTTCCCATGGAGCAGGCCTCAGCTCCAATCAGGAAACAGTTGATTACTCTCAGAACATTTATGTCACTAATACATCAGTGGGCCTATCTTTCCAGAGACTTCGACATTAAAGCATGTGGAGTCTACAGATGAGTGTGGCGATAACTGTTATACCCCCAAAGCCAGGATAGATTTTACTTTAACCTTTATTACCATGTCTGGGAAGTGAAAGCCATTTGCACTTTCTTTAAAAAAGTTATTTGGTGTGGGAGTCCACAGAGGTTTCCTAGTGAGATCTGAGCTTGCTTTACCAGCACAGCCGGTAAGAGGATGACTAGACCACGAGACTGGGTACCAGGTGTTCGGAAGGGTCTGCACTTGGCTGTATCTAGCAAGGTCTTTTGCCTTGCCCCTTGACATTGTTATAAAAAGCCTTTTGAATAAAGTTCTGGGCCAGTGAATAAGGATTGAGGCCCTCCTGAGACTATCCTGTGTTTCTGTCTTTCTTCTCGGCTAAGCCTACCAGTCTACCTAGTATTTCTTATTCCTCTCTCCTCCTCGTAGGAACCCTAGAAAAGATGGGGGCTACTCCTCCACAATTTGGGGGCCTTTGAGATGGCTTAGAGGGAAAGGCACTTGCCATCAATCCTGGAATCCCGATTTCGATCCCTGGGAGAAAGAGAAAACCAAACATTGTCCTCCGACCTCCGTGTGTGTCATGGTTCAGACATACATACACACACATACACACACACACACACACACACACACACACACACACACACACACACACACAAACCACAAACACTAAATAAGTATAATAATGTGTTTAAGAAACATTTATATGGGAGACCGGGAAGGGGAATGTCCCACAGGGCATGTGTGGAAGCCAGGGGAAAACTTGTGGGAGTCAGTTTTCCCCTTCCATCATATGGGTTCTGTAGTCACACTCAGGTTGCATCAGGCTTGGCGACAAGCACACTTAACTACTGAACCATCTCTCTGGCCCCAGAGTCACTTTGTAGTAGTACTTAATATGAGATAAATTATCTATGCTATCTAAGGCTTCAAATAGTCATTTGGTTGCTGCCTGTGTTGTGCGATAAAAAGTAATATTCCTAAGTAATAGCATAGAGGTGCATGCCTGAAGTCTCAGCACTCAAGAGGTGGATGTAAAGGGGATTAAGAATTCAAGGCCATCAGGTGGTCGTGGCACATGCCTTTAATCCCAGCACTCTGAAGGCAAAGGCAGGCAAATCTCTGTGAGTTCGAGGCCAGCCTGGTCTACAGAGTGAGTTCCAGGACAGCCAGGGCTGTTACACAGAGAAACCCTGTCTCGAAAAACAAACAAAAAAGAATTCAATGCTGTTCTTAGCTACACAGAGAGTTTAAGGCCAACCTGAGATACAGGAGGCTGTCACAAAACAAAATCTTATTAGATTGTGGCTGTTGGTACTTCTTCTGAAAGACTCAAATATACTAATGATAAATATGAATGAAATTTACCCATATTTATATGTTAGTATTCTACTCAATATGAGTAAAATGTTGCTATTGTAGAATGCTTCCTCTAATCATGTTACCATCTTCATCAAAGAAGTTACTACTACTTTCAAGAGACCTTCAAGACCCAGCCTGTTGATGGTCCTTCATAGAAAGGGTTGGGGAAAGACGTTAGATACTTAACTGAGGTTCCAGCCACTCTTTCCTATACCTCCCTCCCAGCTCTATTGCATTCTGCCCAAGCTTCATGTGGTCCCAGAAGGTGCCAGTGTGGAAGGTAACTGAAGGCATCTAAACAGCTGGGGAGAAATCATCATCAGCTTGGGGTGAGATGCTTCAGTGATGCAGCTGTATGCGAATTACCCAGGCTTCTGTGAGGAACTCTACACCCATGCTATACAAAAATACACAATAAACTCACTGTTTTGCCAAGCTAGACTTTGGTGGAATCATTACTTTGGTCTGTTGTTGATGCTCTCCATCAGGTGAGGAGTAGACATTTGTTCATGTCTCCTCAAGAGAAGTTTAAGAAACAATGAGTTGGAGTTTTTTCATTGTTGTTTGCATTTTGTTTTGTTTTGTTTTGTTTTGGAGATAGGGTCTCACTATGTAGCTCTGGCTATCCTGCAATCCACTAAGTAGACCAGGCTGGGATTAAAGGCATGCACCACTACACCTGGCTTAATGATGAGATTTTTATTACAGTTGAATTTTAACGGCAGTTAAATTGTCCTGATGGCCTTAAATGACATGGGAAGACCAGCAGCCCAGATAGAGAGGGCATGATGGAATATCATTGCCTTTTGAGGTCGGCCTTCTTGCTACAAGTTGACTTACTCTGTTGCTACTGTAGCCAATTCCTTCATTGATGTCAGAAGCTTGCAGGCTTCCACTGTTGACTAAGGACTGGTGACTCTCCAGGAACCTTCCAGATGTTCACCATCAGATTGGGAGTACTGAAACATTCAGCCTTGTGGACCTAGTAACTACTAGGTTGTCAGCCTCTCTCTCCAGTGTGAGACAGCCTCAGTGAGGTGACTCAGATTGCAGAGCCACCCAGATCGAGCACCTACAGTTGTTGTTACTGTTTCAGAGTAAGCAGATTTAATAAACTCTATGAATATATTATAATATTATCTGTATTCATTCTATTGGTTCTGTTCCTCTAGAGAACCCTGACAAATACAGACTGTAAAACAAAAAAAAAAAGATAGCATATATGTGATGGCTAGTTTTTATGTCAACTTGTCCCAGGCTAGAATCATTTTGGAAGAGGGAACTTCATTTGAGAAAATGCTGGTACCATATTGGCCTGTGGGCAAACCTATGATACATTTTCTTAATTAATGTTTGATGTGGGTGGGCCCATCCCACAAGGGTTGGTGCCAAACCTGGGGAGGTGGTCCTGAGAGCAACACAAATTGCTAAACGGTCTTATTAATAGAAAACCCGGAGCCAGTTATTGGGGTGAATGCTAAAAGATCAGAGAAGCAGAACAAGCCACAGCCACCCTCACCTCACCAACTCCTCAGCTATCCTGTTTCCACAAATCCTCAGACTGAAAGTCTCTGAGTCCTCACCCCTGACAGTCTCAGCAGAACAGCCAGCCACTAGCTCTTACCTCTACGAAATCCTCAGTCTAAAGGGTGTGAGTTCCTGTTTCCTCATGCCAATATACCTTTCCGTGTCCTGCCATATTATTTCTTGGGATTAAAGGCGTATGTCCTTCCCAAGCAAAGACATGAGATCTCAAGTGCTGGGATTAAAGGTGTGTGCCACCATGCCTGGGTCTGTTCCCAGTGTGGCCTTGAACTCACAGAGATCCGCTTGCCTCTGCCTCCCGAGTGCTGGGATTAAAGGCGTGCGCCACCGCCGCCGCCGCCGCCGCCGCCGCCGCCGCCCAGCCAGGTTGATTAAATTGTTCAGAAGTTGGTTTTATCATTCTAGTGTGGGACCCGTACAACTCAGATGAGCAAGCTCATACAGCAAGTACTTTTACCGTAGGAGACATCTCACTGGCACAATGAAGCTTTCCTTCTTTTTTTTTTTAATTTAATTTAATTTTATTTTACAATTATTGGTGAAATTATTAAGGCCACTCCACGTAGTTAAAAGGAGATTTAATTATTGGCGTAACTTACAAATTAAGGGATAGGTAGGTCGCGGAGTCTGGGGAAGGTGTATCACAGTCCAGTGGTGTTCTCTGGAGCTCTGCTCGGTCCACCTCCACTCTCCAGGGTCCCGCAACAGAGAGAGCGCCCGCAGATCCAGATCTCGGGTCTCCAGGCGCCTCCCTTGGCCCCGCCTTGTAGGCGTGACAGTTGCCGAAGTCTCAATGGGGGTTGG